TCCAATAGTGTTATGCTTTTTTTTGTGAACAGCACTTATTCTCTCTACGCTTGACCAATATTTGAAGTTTCATTGAATTTTAACAATTAATGTTCAAGTTATGCACTGGACAACACAAAGTAACAAAGGGCAAAATCTTTTAAATCAGTCAAGAAAGAGTTATGGTTTCTGTGTACTGCGCTTCCTCTCATTTATTTGACCATTGTATGACATTGTATTGAATTACAACCAGTAGACCCTAAAACAAGGAATAGTGATAAAGGGCAATCACTCTATAATTACTTGTGCTTGACCATTGTATGAAGTTGCATTATATTCGAACAATTAATTTTCAAGTTACGCTCTGGACAAGGAAAAGTATCAAAGAGCAATAACTCTGTAATTGGTCAAAATGGAGTTGGGTTGTTATGCACTGTACTTTCTCTCAATGTGCTTGACGATTGTACGAAGTTGTATTGAATTTCAACCAGTAGTTTTCAAATTATGCTCCGGACAAGGAAAAGTAACAAAGGGCAATAACTCTGTAATTAATCAACATGGTGTTATGATTCTTTTGCTTTGCACTTTCTCTTAATGTGCCTGACCATTGTATGAAGTAATATTGAATTCCAATTATTAACCCGGACAAAAAAGCAATGGAAAAGTAACACAGGGCAATAACTAGATAGAGTCGTGGTAATTGTGCACTGAACTTCCTGTTGTTATGCTTGACCATTTTATAAAGTTGTTATGAATTGCATCAAGTAGTTTTCAAGATATGCCCGGACCAGGGAAAGTAACACAGGGCAATAATTATGTGAAGTTAGTTAAAATGAAGTTATGGTTCTTGTGCACTGCACTTTATCTCAATGTCCTTGACCATTGTTTGAAGTTGTATTGAATTCCAACCATTAGTCTTCAAGTTATGCTCCGGACAAGGAAAATGCAACGGACCACTGGACTGACCGACCACCGGGTGACTCCTATATGCTCCCTAAAGTTAGTTTTCAGTGGTATAATAAGTATTTTACATGCTCTATAACTATTTTTTTCAAAAAAACTTCAAAACTTTATTGCATTAAACAAATACATGTTTATAGGAAGTACATGGATTTTTTCAGAAGAGCCTTACAATCATATGAATAAAATACAGATTACATTTGACAGGATTATAAATCATATATAAATTTGCAAAAACCATTAATTACAGTTAACGATGATTCAGCCATTAAATTGATAAACTTTTGCTTAGTCGGCCATGTGTAGTAATACCGTTTAAGATACTTTTTTCTCAAGTCTTGTTGTTCTAGTAACATGTTCACAGTTTTATCTAGCGATTTGCGTACCTGGTCTAGGTTGTTAATCTTATCTTGGCTACATTTTATATCCTTTGCTTGCATATCGTATTCATTACTTTATAAATCTAAATATCAAAAAAATATCTATAAATCGTTTTAAATTTGCTTTTAATCGCTATTTCTGCTCGAGCTGGAAAATCCATGCCCTCGTGTTGAGGGGAGATAATCGTAATACTTATTATTTAAACATTTTAAACTCGTATTTTCCCTTTCTAGATAAGAAAAAAATATTCGTTTTGAGACATAATCTGCTTTTAAACGCAAATGTTTGACGAATATTAGTAGAATTTTTAACTGTGAATTCATGTGATTCATCAAACACTAAGCAAACATTTTTTAATTTATCTGTCACTGTATACAATCAAATCATATATATTCCCTTAGTTGATAACAAAAGTCTACAATTTGTCATCCATTCCTGTAAGCAAATGTTAAGTTCCTACATGATCCATCCGCATTTTAAGGTAAACCATTTCAAATATTTCAATAATATTTCTTTTAAAAAATAAATGTCTTTGATGCTACTTTCAAGTACTAGTATTGTTACATCTTGAAATTATGTTTAATTAAGAAATGACACATAATCAACATAGAAAAAATTGAGAAAAAACAAAATCCACACGTCAAAATTGGAAAATTAACAATTTTAGAATTGGAATCACCGCAGATTAACTCTTTATATCGTGTTTATGTTGTCCTTATATATTTGCTCATTGTAAAATGGAGATTTTTCTGAAGGTGGATATAATAAAACCAACAGCACATTCTTTTCAATATAAATAAAACACACACAAGCATTACACCATATTCAAATATCAATCACATAACATTTGAATACGTCATATCAATCACATAACATTTGAATATGTCTTATCATCTGTTTCTAGTATCAATAAAGACACCATCCATGGACCTGCCTCTAACGACAAAGTCTTTAGCAAACATGCGAAATTAGTGAATCTTTCAAAAATAAATAGTTATCGTCGTAGGAAAATATTTGTATTGTAACCAATGTCCATGGGGTTTGTAATGGCATTAAAATTAACATCTTATCGGTTAACATAATTGTACAAATTTCCTGTTTGTTTGTTTCTGTATGTTGCCTGCTAGATAGATTTGCCTCATATGTAAACAATTAACCATTTTGGAAATATTCACGTAATCGGTATTCTTTCAATCTTTTAATTGTGACTTTGACGGTCATTCTGATTTGAGAAATCACAGTTCACCTCATCGGGCCACTATGATATCGTTGCAAGCTCACATTTATGTCACATAGGTCCGTTTATGTCGATGGTCCATTCTTAATGTCATCTTATGCCCAGAGTAAATATGTCGATGGTCCATTCTTGATGTCATCTTATGTCCAGAGTAACTATGTCGATGGTTCATTCTTAATGTCATCTTATGTCAAGATAAAGACATTTTGGCTTTAGTCGTCAGTGCGGTTCATGGCAAAATTGACATCACGCCACTGTTTCATATTTATACGAAACGAAAAAATTAATAAGAACTGCCATGCACTATTATACATGATTGCTGTTTTATTTATTTATTGAAGTGATAGATCTATACATTATCGCATAATAAAGTTATTGATAAGAATGTTAACTGTAAGCAACAATTTATAATGTTAGCTTTTAAAAGATTTAATAACCTTATTTTGATTTTTTGTAATGTAATGAATTGTAATGCTGATATTTTCATAGATGACGTAATTTCAAGAGGTATGTGAAGTTGGCCTATGTACATTGTACATCGTTGTTCAACTTGTAATTCGCCAATTACAAGCTAGTAGCTGGGTATTCATCTTGTAGTTCGGACCAAATACAACAGCATACACAATATTGCCATATAATAATGCATTTGGTCCGAACTACAAGCTGAATACCCAACTACAAACTTGTAATTCAAATATTGTCTATGCTGGTGTATCTGGTCCGACCTACAAGCTGAATACCCAACTACTAGCTTGTAATTCAAATATTATGTATGCTTGTGTATTTGGTCCGAACTACAAGCTGAATACCCAACTACTAGCTTGTAAACCAAATATTGTGTATGCTGGTGTATTTGGGCTGAACTACAAGCTGAATATCCAAACTACTAGCTTGTTATTCAAATATTATGTTTGCTGGTATATCTGGTCCGAACTACAAACTGAATACCCAACTACTAGCTTGTACTTCAAATATAACGTATGCTGATGTTTCTTGGCTGAACTACAAGCTGAATACCCAACTACTAGCTTGTAATTCAAATATAACGTATGCTGATGTATCTGGGCTGAACTACAAGCTAAATACCAAACTACAAGCTTGTTATTCAAATTTAGTGTATGCTGGGGTATTTGGGCGGAACTACAAGCTGAATATCCAACTTGAGTTTGTTATTCAAATATTGTATATGCTGGTGTATATGGGCTAAACTACAAGCTGAATACCCAACTACTAGCTTGTAATTCAAATATAACGTATGCTGATGTATCTGGGCTGAACTACAAGCTGAATACCCAACTACTAGCTTGAAATTCAAATATAACGTATGCTGATGTATCTGGGCTGAACTACAAGCTCAATACCAAATTACACGCTTGTAATTCAAATTATGTGTATGCTGGTGTATTTGGTCCGAACAACAAGCTGAATACCCAACTTGAGTTTGTTATTCAAATATTGTATATGCTGGTGTATATGGGCTAAACTACAAGCTGAATACCCAACTACTAGCTTGTAATTCAAATATAACGTATGCTGATATATCTGGGCAGAACTTCAAGCTGAATACCCAACTACTAGCTTGTAATTGGCGAACTACAAGTACAATATACAAGTCGAACTAAAAGCTGAATACCAAACTACAAGCTTGTAATTGGCTGAACTACGATGTGCAATGTACAAGCCAACTTCACATACCTAATTTAAAGTAAATTGTCTAAGCCTATCAGGAAGGATACAAGATACACATGTACAAGATCAAGATAATGACTCGATCTTCAAGAATACGCGGGGCGCCTTCCCTTCCTTCCCTTTTGTCAAGATCTCTATTTTATAATGTCATTGAAAAGTTGTTAAGATATCATTCGAAAGGGAAACATTCAAAACTTTATACTTTCAACATATGTCATATTTTTAATGACGTTAACTTCTTTCAGTTTCATGAAACCCGCGGTAGATGTACTCTTACGCTGAGGGGCATCTATCGACTACCTGAAGAGTCATTGTCACTTTATCTACAAGTAAGTAAGTTTGTAAACCCTGAGAGGAGATGTGACCGAGTTCCTCAAGTCTCATTTGGATCATTACAAATCAATCATTACAAGTAATCAAAGAAAAGTGTTTTATTATTTAATTAATTCAGCACTAAAAGCATGACTACAATGTTTATGTACAGAACATTATTGAATTGACTTCAAAACACAACACACCACTACTACTTAGCGAACTTTTTAAAATCAAATGGTAGCATATCGATGTCACTTGTTTGTTGCCCTACGCGTTGATTTGATGTTAAATAAACTATTAAATAAATGTTGAAATTCGATTTGGAAATTCTACAAACCTTAAGCAAACAACGCAATGTATTACTGCTTAACATAAAACTATTTGATATTTGGTCAACAAAACCTCTAATTCTAAAAAAAAGTCATACTTCAATGAGAAACTTATTATTTGTTTTCTTTTAATTTGAAGTAATAGAATGCAAATACATAATACAAGGTAGCGGTTAATACGAGGATAACATCATTCGTTTGTACACGTCTCAATGTATCAGAACAACTCCTTATCTCGGTTGTGGTCTACCAAACCGAACATTTGTCCGGGGGATTCATGTAAGAACCGATCGGGCAATTCCAGGCTTTCGAAAACTCCACTGAATTTTGTAGAGGTCCTACCACTCTGAAAAATAGATTAAATGAGCCGCGTCACGACAAAGCCAACATAGTGCGTTTTCGACCAGCATGGATCCAGACCAGCCTGCGCATGCGTGCAGTCTGATCAGGATCCATGCTGTTCGCTATCAGTTTCTCTACTTGTAATAGAGCTGGTAAGCGAACATTAATTAATCAATCATTGCTGAGTTATGAAGGGACATGCCTGCATACTAAGGGCACAATCGAGTGATGTTCAATACGAGTCGTGACAAGTCACTGATCTATTTTAAGTTGCATGACTTCGCTTTATTATTAAGTTATTTATAAATAAATAATACACATACTCGTTTATATGTTCAATAAATGTGTAATAAAGTTTTCATTTAACGTTACTATATGGTGTTGCATTTCGTCTAAAAAAGTTTTGCATTTAAAAATCTACTTAAATCTCTTTATTTTTCACAATATGCATATACATTATAAGGACTAAGTATATTTTCTTTCATTGACTGAAAATGCAAAGTATGTTCCTAATAGTTGTAGTGAATATACATATTGCATTTGCAAATACATTGTAGTTGTACCTGAACATGAAATAACTGTGAGGGTCCGTATGAATTTGTTTAATTTTTTCTTCATTCTTCATGTCACCACACCAAACCTAAGGAAGGCAATAAACATTTCTGTAATCATCCTACATCGTTTGTATGAAATACGAACAAATAGGAAGAGTGATAACTTAGTGTAAGGCATCTTCTTAGCCTTATAGATACAACCGAGAAAACATTGAATCCGTAAAGAACATCAACAACAACAAAATAAACAAGAGCCATGTCAACAAGGCCATCCCCCGCCGAATGTGTTTGCTCATTGGAAGAATGTATATGTAGAACAGCAGAATAATTCCATTTTAAGAGGTCTTTTGGTAATGAAAACTGATGGCTATAGGCTATAGTGATTACAGATTTGAAACCTATGTGAATACTGATGGCGGAAAATAACAAAGGGCAATGACTGAAAAATAATGCAGGGTATGTTATCATTCTTGTGTGCTGCATCCCTCCTCAGTAAAATCTATCCACCTATGAAGTTTCAAGTTGATACCTCAAATACTTTTTGAGAAAAAATTGAATTGAACAATTAAGTATGAAAACTAACAAAGGGCAATAACTCAAAAATGATGAAGAGTAGAGTTATCATTCTTGTGCACTGCACACCTCCTGAGTGAGATCTATGCACCTATGAAGTTTCATGTTGATATCTCATAGGCTTTTGGAGTTATGCTCTTGACAAAAATCAATTTTGAAAAATAACAAAGGGCAATAACTCAAAAATTATGCAGGGTAGAGTTATCATTCTTGTGCACTGCACTCCTCCTCAATAAGGTCTATTCAATTATGAAGTTTCAAGTTGATTACTCAAATACTTTTAGAGATATGCTCCGGACAAAAATATCGGACGGACGGACGGACGGAAGGACGGACCAACATTTTGGGTTTAAGAGTCTATGGATAATGTGACTTCATTCAATTAGGTTTTATGTGTCTTCAAAAAGTTTTCTAACATTTCAGTTTTATGTGTTGACTTATGTCCGTATTTAAAGAGTCTAAATAAAAGTATTTAATCTCTTTATAGAACATACATGTTTAACAAGAACTGTAAATAAGAGTTTGATGGTCTAGTTGGTAGAAAACTTAACAAGAGACAAACAATTCCTTTTGTTTGTCTGGATTACATGCATTTCTCTATACATTTTTGTTCATATCTCAGTACTAGGTCCATCTTAATGGCTTTCTTGGGACAACTAAGCAGTCATTACTAATTTCTCAACAGGTAACCATAATCTGTCAGTAAATGGCCTTAGTGAAATTCAGTTATGGCAACAGACATGTATTATGTTGATATTTCATCACGATTTCTGCATGTTATACAAGTTATTTGAATAGGTAAATTTTTAAGAAATTTTACATGGTTATAAATACTATGAAGGGTTAATGATGCACAATGTCACATAATGAAACAAAACAAAACAGAGTGCCTCCTTTATAACTTTATTCATAAGATGGAGAAAAATAACTGTTGATGAACAAAACAACATTTGCAATGAAAAATAAATGTTTTTAGGTAGCCTATATTTTTTCTAACAAGTCCTTAACAGGCTAAAGAAATAAAGAACACTAGATGAAAATGGCTTCAGATCAATGAATAAACAAGGGTAAACAAAAAAATCTGAGGAACAAGGTTGAATTATGGTTACAAAATTCAGATTTACAATGTCAATGTACCATGCACACATTCCATGGTAATACTCTCTCTCCCATTATAATAACTCTATGCTTTTCCTAAATTAATAGGCTAACAGAAGTGTACTATCTTATTTAACCAGTCATTTAAAAAAAGAAACACTGTGTTAAGCTGACTGACCTATATGTAATTTCCATGAAAATCCAACAATAAGTATTTAAGATTACAACAATATTCTAAAGGACAAATTCTTATGGCAATATGAACAATGTTTAATTAAACTCAGTGGTTTTACTTATGGTTCATATTGCTGATCTTCTTGATAATTAGGTGCAGATTTGCCCTTCTCCAAATCTCACCACCCTTTTCCTGACTCATTTTTTTTGCTTTTAAACAAGCAGGTCTGCGAGGAGTTATTCCACTGTCAAGGTAGGTTTTAGAATAAGTCCTTAACTCTTCAACTTCAGTATCAGTCCATCTCTGACGAGCTGTCATCTTTTTCCTTTTCTTTTTTTCTGGTGCATGTACTTTATCTTCTTCTTCATCTGAGGAAATAGCACTGAAGTTTCTTTTTCCTGACTGTTTGTCTTGAGTACAGTCAGAGTCTTCATGTATACTGTAAACAGTTGATACAAGAATCTTTAAAAATTACACCATATTGATCTAGTCAATGTTACATCAATTTTGGTACATATTTACCCTTACTTAACATCCTTCTAATCAAATAAGCCACTATGTATTGTTGAAATGACAGCATGTCGAGTTGTATTATTGATTTCATGAAGCAATGCCACAATATGCACTTGGCCTGATTTTTATGCAGACTAATTAGTTATGTTGTGTCCTTCATAATCTATTTTGTTAAAGATACAGTCCTCAGAAATATTTAATTGAGAAAAAAAACCATAAGAGAAGCTGCAAGTCAAGCAACATCAAAGTCATCTAGTAATCACGCAGTATCATCAAGCATTTCGAGGTGTAAAATACATTTACCAATTTACTTCTTGACAGCACAACATAATATACTTACCCATCAACAGAGTCTAAAGTCTCATCAACTCTTCTTCCTTCCTGCTGCTCATCTGCCCCATACACAATATCTGAGACATAAATACACGCTTGTATTATTCTTAAATTAGCAGCAATATGTCAAAATATTAAATAATACCCTGCAGATAAATCCAACCAACTGTAACTTAATCTGCAATTAATATGAACATGCTACAAAATTAATATACTAGAATAAAAAAATTTAATGTCAATTCCAAGGACTGCATTATGTGCACTGTTCACTGTCAATATTATAAAAAGAATTAACTAGTTATAAAATGTGATTTCTGAATCAGCACTGAGATAAAAACGACCTTAGACTTAATGTCAGAAATATTGAGCTAAGCTGGCAAGCAAATATACCCAGTACCAAGAAAATTTATATATAAAAGACAGCTGTACCTTTCAAATCAATATCTTCTAATGACTGCCCCTTGAACTGCCCGGTTAAATTCAAGTCTTGCACCATCATTAGTTTGGTAACATAGACTCTCTCAATCAAACCAGACATTTGCCTGTATGCTTCTCTGTGGACAGGTTTTGTATGGCCAAGGTGACGACACAGCCAGTCCATCTGGTACTTATCAAGATTCATCAGCTGGAAGAAATTGGATTGCAAACTTATAAATAGGGGTCATGACAAAAACTGTTTCAAACATTAACCCCTTAACAAAGATTAAGGGTTGATGCACATGGCCATGTTTTGAGCTCTATGATCATTTAAACAGTATAAACATTCTGACAAAGTTTCATAAGAATGAAAATGTCATAGACCTCAACAGACTGAAGGTTTATGATGCTGCCAAGACAATTTCTTCTTCATTTTAGCAATGTCATATTTCTCAATTTGCGGCTTCTAATGAGCTCTACATTTTTCCATATAGGTATCAATTCATTTAACTGCTGAAACAAACCTGTGACAAGGTAGCAGTATATTTTCTCATGGCCACACTTGTTATTCGCTGGGGCGATTTCAGCTTGCACGAATCGCATGCAATCTTCAAGCTGTCATATGCTCTAATGTACTTGAGAGCTGAAAGGAAATGTACCCATTAAGTGTATTACGCAGAACATCGTAAAAGATTTTATTAAAAGCATAAAAATAAAAAAAAAACATAAAAAATAGGATACTTTGACAAAGATACACAGCATATAAATATTGTGTGATAAAGAAATACAACAGGTGAAGAGTCCCAAATATTTACATTACATGTACAGGCAAGGTCAATATTACAACTTTGTTTACATATTTGCAACAGAAATTGTAGCGAAATTAAATGTTCCAGAATGTATTAATATGCAAACAAATGGTAAAAACATTCAATTATTTTAGTTAGTTCGATATTCACAACTTTTTCAAGTGTTATTAACAGAAATATAAACATCGACAATTTATGCTTTTTTATCTGAAACCTTGGTATTAGTTGCATACTGATGACATGTATACAACTTCAGCTATAATAGATCATTTCTTTAACAGATGACAATCAACTTTGAAAATTATGAGCACTAATATAAAAATGGTTGTAAGTATTTTTAGAAGACATGTATTTGATCATTATGTCTTATAAAACTTTATTTTTCAATTGCTCACCAGTATTTGGAAACAAGTACTTGTTGCTTTCACTTATTCCAGCTGCTTTTCTGGTCATCTTTGATGCAATGAAGTCTAATGGACCCTTCACATCTTGGGGTACAATAACAGGTACAGGTCTTCCACCCTAAAAAAGTAAGGTTTACTTGTAGACAGATTTTATAAGACTACTTATGGACAGGTTTTAAGAGACTAATTAATGACAGGTTTAAGAGACTAATTAAGGACAGGTTTAAAGAAACTAATAAATTATGGACAGGTTTTTAGATACTAATTATGGACAGGTTTTAAGAGACTAATTATGGACAGGTTTTAAGAGACTAATTATGGACAGGCTTAAAGAGACTAATTATTGATAGGTTTAAGAGACTAATTATGGACAGGTTTTAAGAGACTAATTATGGACAGGCTTAAAGAGACTAATTATGGACAGGTTTAAGAGACTAATTATGGACAGGTTTAAAGAGACTAATTATGGACAGGTTTAAGAGACTACTTATGGACAGGTTTAAGAGACTAATTATGGACAGGTTTTAAGAAACTAATTAATTATGGATAGGGTTTAAGATACTAATTATGGACATGTTTTTAAGAGACTAATTTTGGACAGGTTTTAAGAGACTAATTCAGGACATGTTTTATGAGACTTAATTATGGACAGGTTTAAGAGACTAATTATGGACAGGTTTTAGGAGACTAATTCAGGACAGGTTTTAAGAGACTAATTATGGACAAGTTTAAGAGACTTATAGACAGGTCTTAAGAGACTAATTATGAACAGTTATACTAGACTATATATATTCCTAGTTGTCGTTTTGTCCAAGTCTTTAGACGGTCCATCCATTTATAACAAAGTTATAGTGAATTATAGTTTAATTCAATAATTTGACCTTGATGGTCAAGGTCATAGATAGGCCATGGTCAAACTTGGAGAAAGAAAAATGTCGATTTTGCCTTAAGTGTTTTTTTTTTGTCCAAGTATCAATCAAATCTGTCCATTATTAACAAAGTTATCACCATTTTAGCTAAATTCAAGGTCATATAAAGGTAAAGGTCAAATTCAGTTTGTTCTTCTAGGTCTTGACACAAGCATTGTGAAGTCTGTAGACAATCCATCTATAAATAACAATGTTATAGAAAACTATAGCAAAAATCAAGCAAAATACAATAATTTGAAGACCTTGAAGTTCAAGGTCACTTATGAGCCCGGGATTTGACCTTGAAGGGCATTGTTTTTGTCTACTTATGCAGCTGTATTAATGTTCAGTTGAGTGGAGATTTTTGGCCATTTAGGCAATAGGCCAATTAATTTTCATCGGTAATTCACTTGGATCACAAGATCTAAAAGCTCATCACCAGAATTTCTCAGGAAAGCAAATAATATTTAAAGATATGAAAATTTACCTTGCCTCGAACTGTCATCAACTCTTGAGACTTTAGCAAGTATGTCTCCACTTTTGTTAGATCAGCTGCCACAGATTCGTCAATGTCAGACAGGTCTTTTCTTCTGGCTGCATAACTCTGAAGACTGAGATGTGATAGAAAATATATTATTTCAAGCTACTGAAACACTTCAAGCGCAAGTCAAAATAACGTTGATATAAGGTGACAATTGTTGGATGTTAACGTATCCTTTTATTTAATCTTTTGCAAAGAAAATATTATTTTAAGTTCACCTATTAGAAAAAAGGAAAGCTATCTGAACACAAATTTTTAAGCTTACTATATGTAATAAATGTACTTGCTTATTGAATCACTTACCTAATTACTTCAAGTTCTCCTGAACGCCTTTTGTTATACATCATCAAGCGTGTTTGACACAGAGCATTAATTTTCATGTAATTGTCTGGGATCAGTTCCATAGACTCTAATTGTGACACAAGATATTTAGTCAACTTTTCAATGTCATCAGGTGAAGGCAAGTCTTTGCTTTCTATGTACTTTCTCTTCTGCAGGATAGTCCTGGCAATCTTTGTTACTCTTTCACTCCATTCTAAATTCATTAGCTCCAGGAACGATTTACAATCAGAGACTTCTCTGCCTTCTTGGTTTGTTTTCATCAGAAAGGCATACTTCATATTGACCAATCGTTTCAGATCGTACTTCAATTTTATAGCATTACTTGGGTGCTTTCAGTTCACTCATGTCATCCATATCTGGCAATGAAACTTGAAGGGAAGCATCAACAATCTTGTCAAAACAACCTGGTTTCAGAAACTCCCAGAGTGCAGTTTCTGTGTCATCATTATTTTGTTCAGTTACATTTCCTTCCTCATACTCCTTCATTTTTCTCAACTCAAGCAACATTTTTGCTACAAGTCGCATATGCTGACTGGCATAGTATTTTCTCTTTTCAACATTGTCAACATTTCGTCTCAACCAACTTTCTCCAAGCATTAGTATGAGTTTGTCATTTATAACAACATGTCGAACAGTATCTCTCTTCATTGCTGGCAAGACTTCTTCTCTCATGACCTTGCTGGTTTTTGAAGATATAAATCCAGCCATGACTTGGGATTTCAAGACACAGTTGCCTACACTCTCTTTTATTTCATCCTCAGAGCTTCCTTTCAAACACTGGTGAATGTGCTTCTTTAAACCATTAAGTTGAGCCATTCCCTACAATGGGGACAAGGCCCATATTGTTGAACATCCAAGTAGTTGTTTGTTTGGTCGACGGGCAATGAGAAACTCACCCTCTTTCATCTCCACTACTTTTTGATTATTTTTATCATCTCCTAGCTTTCTTATTGTACTGAAATCTGGGTTCGTCATTTTCATTATGTTTCGCACAGCATCTATGTTTCTGTGAGTTTTCATGTGTGTGCTTATGTATTGTACAAATCTAGAGCAATAAAAACAACAGTGGTAATTGTTATATATTCTTTCAGTAGTTTTTTTCCGCATCTGTTGACTTTGCTTTCCGGACAATTTCATGTGCTTTCGCATGTAAATTTTTCTTAAATTCACATCTCTGATAATTTTGTCCTCATCTAACCTTTTCAGTTCTAAATCGCTTACATTTTCCAGGGGAACAGTAGCATCATTTCCAATGCCTTGAACATAACAATTACTATCAAGTGAATCTGCTGATTCAGTAACTCTCTTGTACATATTCTTGGCCGCAGCAGTTTTCTTCTGGATGTCTGGAACAGAGCAGCAACCAAGGCAATCTGCTGATTCATTAACATTTTCAAACAAAATCTTGGTTTCAACATGCTTCTTCAGAAACTTTGACATGTCTGGTGCTGGACAAACCTCTTCGTCTGAATCAATGTCTGAAGGCAAGACATAATCTTCATCTTTATCATCATCATAGCTGAAGTCAGACTCTGAAAAAAAAACATGAGTAACTGTCAGAACGTATGGATTTCAATATAAGTGACTTTATATTGATGCATTTGAATTTGCATACAGGGCATAACTTAAGACCATCATGACAATAATGATTAAATAATAGTCAGTTTTCTAAAATGATCATATTCATATCCTTCATTGTGTTGTATGTCTGCTAACAAAACACCAAGTTTACAAGTATAATGTTAACAAATCCGAAGCATATACATCTATGATCCCTTTTTAATCATGTCCATCAATATGTGGCTTTTTCATGGCTATAAATATCCCATTAATATGCCATGTATTATTCACAACATGCAAGTTGACATGGCATATTCAGATCTATTCAATCATACTTTTGACTAAAAACACTACTAAAACTTTATTATCAAACATTAACTCACCACCATTATCACTGTCAACATATTTGTTGTTCTGAATTTCCATGTCACCATCATTACCGTCAACAAACGTGTTGTCTTGTATTTCTATGTCATCATCATTGCCATCATTTGAATCATCTGAACAGCTCTCCTCATTCTGTTTGATTTCTATAAGACAATAACAATTGGTGTTCATAAATTGAATATGCATTTTATTCCATGCTTATTTTGAAATCTTGTCCATCATAATGTGGCCAATTTATTGTAGCTTTATGAGACACATTGATTTAGAATAACTTGTATAATGAAACATAAATTCTATTCATGATCTTGCTATCTTGTCCATCTTCATGTGACTTATTTTAGAGGCCAAAGAAGACACTCAAGATTCAGAATGTATTGTAAACTTAAACACACACTGTATTTCATATCATTTTCAAATATTATTCATTAAATGCACAAATATTGGTATGTGTTTGTTCCATAAAACCTAAACCTTAAAACCCAAACAACAGGCACAATATATTGAAGACAAATTTAAAATTCTCCCTCCCAACTACTAGATTAATAGGCTATTATGAAAAGTAAAAGAAGGATAAAAAAATAAGTTTTCAAATTTAAAGACATTAACTCACCACTGTCATTGCTGGTGACATATTTGTCGTGAATTTCTATGTCAATATCATTACTATCGGCAGATTTGTTGATGTAAATTTCCATGTCAACTTTATCGTCATTGACTGATTTGTTGTTCTGAATTTCCATGTCACCATCATTTCTGTCAACAAACGTGTTGTCTTGTATTTCTATGTCATCATCATTGCCGTTGATAAATTTGTTGTGAATTTTAAGGTCACCATCATTGTCATTGACAGATTTGTTGTTTAGAATTTCTATGTCACCATCATTGCCGTTGATAAATTTGTTGTGAATTTTAGGGTCACCATCATTGTCATTGACAGATTTGTTGTCCTGAATTTCTATGTCACCATCATTGTCGTTGATAAATTTGTTGTGAATTTTAAGGTCACCATCATTGTCATTGACAGATTTGTTGTCCTGAATTTCTATGTCACCATCATTGTCATTGACAGATTTGTTCTCCTGAATTTCTATGTCACCATCATTGTCATTGACAGATTTGTTCTCCTGAATTTCCATGTCACCATCATTGTCGTTGATAAATTTGTTGTGAATTTTAAGGTCACCATCATTGTCATTGACAGATTTGTTGTCCTGAATTTCTATGTCACCATCATTGTCGTTGACAGATTTGTTCTCCTGAATTTCCATGTCACCATCATTTCTGTCAACAAACGTGTTGTCTTGTATTTCTATGTCATCATCATTGCCATCATTTGAATCATCTGAACAGCTCTCCTCATTCTGCTTGATTTCTATAAGACAATAACAATTGGTGTTAATAAATTGAATATGCATTTTATTCCATGCTTATTTTGAAATCTTGTCCATCATAATGTGGCCAATTTATTGTAGCTTTATGAGACACATTGATTTAGAATAACTTGTAAAATGAAACATAAATTCTATTCATGATCTTGCTATCTTGTCCATCTTCATGTGACTTATTTTAGAGGCCAAAGAAGACACTCAAGATTCAGAATGTATTGTAAACTTAAACACACACTGTATTTCATATCATTTTCAAATATTATTCATTAAATGCACAAATATTGGTATGTGTTTGTTCCATAAAACCTAAACCTTAAAACCCAAACAACAGGCACAATATATTGAAGACAAATTTAAAATTCTCCCTCCCAACTACTAGATTAATAGGCTATTATGAAAGTAAAAGAAGGATAAAAAAATAAGCTTTCAAATTAAAAGACATTAACTCACCACTGTCATTGCTGGTGACATATTTGTCGTGAATTTCTATGTCACTATCATTACTATCGGCAGATTTGTTGATGTAAATTTCCATGTCAACTTTATCGTCATTGACTGATTTGTTGTTCTGAATTTCCATGTCACCATCATTTCTGTCAACAAACGTGTTGTCTTGTATTTCTATGTCATCATCATTGCCGTTGATAAATTTGTTGTGAATTTTAAGGTCACCATCATTGTCATTGACAGATTTGTTGTTCTGAATTTCTATGTCACCATCATTGTCGTTGATAAATTTGTTGTGAATTTTAAGGTCACCATCATTGTCATTGACAGATTTGTTGTCCTGAATTTCTATGTCACCATCATTGTCGTTGACAGATTTGTTCTCCTGAATTTCCATGTCACCATCATTGTCGTTGATAAATTTGTTGTGAATTTTAAGGTCACCATCATTGTCATTTACAGATTTGTTCTCCTGAATTTCCATGTCACCATCATTTCTGTCAACAAACGTGTTGTCTTGTATTTCTATGTCATCATCATTGCCATCATTTGAATCACCTGAACAGCTCTCCTCATTCTGCTTGATTTCTATAAGACAATAACAATTGGTGTTAATAAATTGAATATGCATTTTATTCCATGCTTATTTTGAAATCTTGTCCATCATAATGTGGCCAATTTATTGTAGCTTTATGAGACACATTGATTTAGAATAACTTGTAAAATGAAACATAAATTCTATTCATGATCTTGCTATCTTGTCCATCTTCATGTGACTTATTTTAGAGGCCAAAGAAGACACTCAAGATTCAGAATGTATTGTAAACTTAAACACACACTGTATTATGTATCACCAAATACTTTTTTTTTGAGACACAATATTTAAGATATAATTTATACTTTTTCACTCAGCAAACAGATAAACATATTTTTTTTATGTAAAAAATGAAAAAATGGGATCAATGTTTGCAAATCAAAAACAGAAACTCACCACAGTTATCATTTTCAACAGATTTGTAACGTTGATGTTGTATGTTACCACTAAAGTTGTTGCTTTGTATTTCCATGTGACAATCATTCATGTCATAATCACCTGAACAACTCTCCACCACAAATGTGTTTGCTGAAAGACAACAACAGAATAAATGAATTAAATAAAGAAATCTTCAATCCACTTTGAAAACTTTGTCTATCATTATGTGACTTGTCTTAGAAGCCACAGAAGACATATTATTACAGAACGGAATAATTTGTAAAATGAAACCTGCCTTTCATTTCATACTTTCCAGTCTTATCCATCTATATGTGACAAGTTTTTTAAAGGCCATTATAGACACATTAATGCAGGAGTGTATGTTTTTTTAGTTTAAAATATCTGATGTGCAATTGCAATGGATCTTCAGGCAATCATGTGCTCAGTTGGTGGCTTTTTAATCGCAAGGCCAATCATAGATGCAGTCATATCATGAAAAAATGTATGGTAATGCTGGTCACTTTATACCTTACATACGACTGATAGAGTTGCAATATTGGAGGACAATGATTAAGATTTTGAATGTTGTAACATTAGCTCAATACAACGCATCGAGTCTGAGAGATTTACCGGTTCTTTGTGTCACTGTCACAGATTATTGTCGTCAACGTGTAGACTTGATTATCTTGAGTTCCTGGCCGCACGCATCATCGCATCCAATAGTTCTTGCTGCTTCGGATTGTGCATGTGCACAACATTGGGTGGTCATTTGTATTATCTGAACAGCTCTCCTCAACTCTGTTGGTTTGCGCTAGAAAGGATGACAACAACAATATATTGGTGATAAGACAGTATCATGGAGATGTTTATCCCAGTGCTCATGATAGTCTTAGGTTAGTACATTCGTTGTCCATCATTATTGTTGCCATTTAAGTTTGAGGCCATAGAAGACATAGTTTCTTTGTTCTTATGATGGTTAATGTTGGTAAAATTAAATATTTCTTGCTTAAATGACTGTCCTAATCTTTGTGGCATTTCGACTATTGTGACTTGTTTCTGAGGCCATAAAGACACGCATTAGATAGCGAACATTTTATAAGAGATTGACAGCCGGAAAATTGCATTTTCATATGGAATCTCCGAATCTTGTCACTCATGTAATGTGGCTGAGTATGGTTGTGGCAGTGTAAAGATATTGGTATATTAGAAAGGATATAGTATATAGTCTATATCGACATAAACAATTACAATTTAAGAATGACACAAGATTATAGATTCAATTCACTACACTCTTTTTTGTTAAAATTAATTATAAGACTGCATGCAAATCTTTAATTACGATAAAACAATGTCACAAAAAAAAGATCATGATCAGATCATTCTGATCATTCAAAGTACTGTGGTAAGCAAATTACTTACCATTCAAGACTTCAGCCAAGGCCCAGTCTATGTCCTCTTTAAAAGCTTTTAGAGTTGTTTTTTTCTTCTTTAAAGAGTCTTAAATATATATAAAAAACAGAAGATTACATGATAATCTTGTAAGCTAAACAGTAAGGAGGCAAACTAAATGAGAAGAAAATTGTTCAATGGTAATTCAACTTCAAACCAGAAAGTAACATTTCAAGCCTTAATGTTTATCATGATTCATTACATGAAAGTATTTAGACAACAAAAATCCTTTTTGTCAGAATTTTTTTTTTAATTTATTTAAAAATTTTCATTTTTTATGGTCATATTCTAAGATGAATTTTGAACATTACATTTATAATTATGACTAAAACCACATACATACAGATTCTTAAGTTAACTAAGCCAATTACAGAGATAAATGAAATGACAACCATGTGTTGTGCAAGATATTGCTAAACTATTATGTACAATTATCTTAAGTTTAAGCCCTGTGGCTTCTGAGAGATAATTTTATTCTTTTAAGATCAATAAATTTAACTTTTTGATTTTTTTTAAAGGGGAACACCTAAGGATCCTTCAAGTTTGGTTTCAATTAAGCCTGTGGTGTAAAATGTATTTGCTTTTAAAGCAACACCTTAATGACACATAATGTACATGGCAATAGCAGTAAGCTCACTTTAAACAACCTTTTGCTTTACATGACATCAATAAAAATTAATTAATACAGTAGGCATCTGCATTTTAAAATATCTGTACAGGAATGTATAATTCAGAACATTTTTCATGCATTGAATCAAGCAATTATAACAGTTAACTCGGGTTGTCAATAGGAGGCTGGATGCCAAAATGACTGCCACGAAACAAGGAAACACTCTTTATTCTATGTTATTAAATATAGGCCTGAGTATTGCCAGACAAAATGGTATTGCGATATATTGCGATATTTTAATAAATACTGCAATATATTGTGACCATATAGAAATCATGGAAATGAAATATTTGAACACTAAATAAGCTATTCCTGTTTTATGTTTGTGTCCCCTTATGTGACTGAGGTCTAACTTGTTTTTAAGTAAAATAAAAAACAAATTAAGTAAAAAAATCCTGTAACAAGACCGGAAATGAGCTAAGTAAACATTTTTTTTTTTTGCAAGATTTTTTTCCTTTCTTTCTTTAAATGCTAATATTCAACCATGTTTTAGACATCATTCTAACAATGCAATTGAAATATTGCAATATTTTAAAATCATATTGCAATATTATATTGTCAGAGAATATATTGCGATAACTGATATATTGCGATATATTGCACACCCCTAATTAAATATATAACTTTTAATTCAAAATAAGCCTTCCAAGAAAAATACCTAGTGACAACCCAGGTTTGTAACTATAACAAAAGCTATTTTAGAACTTTCTTACATTTAACTGCAATGAGAACAATCAAAAGTAAAGGTTTGAAACAAAGCAGTAATACAGTATGCGCATCGCGTTAACTTCCCTTTTCCATGCGAACACTGCAACGAAAATTTATTGAGCATGTTCAATCACAGTGTCACGGATACGATCAGATATCTTAGAGGACACTGAAGTGTGCACACAGTGGTTCATGGTGTCCCCACACGATGATTCTCGGTGTTCATTCGATATTTTTTAACAACAACAAATATTTTTCATAATATTTCCACTGTGGTTTCATCAGCTTTGAAGCACAAAAAAAGGTTAAGTTATGTTTAGATATTACCTTGTTTTCGCACTTTTATTTAATTCATAATACTGTAATTGTTCCAAGCCAAAACAAACGCTGGGAAGCTAAAGAAAATGTGTGAATATCGCGTTTCTCTATTCTCATTTTTGTATGGCAGACTTGTGAAGGCTCAAATAATACAAAACAACAAGTCTTGACTAATGATCTTTTTAATCATGTAAAATAATTTTTCGAAAATCCCCTAAAACTGGTTAATTCAGCTACCCGAATATGCATGAGAATGCGCGTTTTTGTGTAAATATGTTGCGGACAAACAAAATAGTCTTCAGAATTTGATATAAATGGGTGATTAAAAATTACCTTTCTGATTTATAAAGATTTAATCCATCAACTTTTGACAGTCTACATAGTTATTAACAATAAAATAAATGAGTTATCCCTCAAGATTGCCTGAATTCCATACTGCTAAAATGCACAATTTTTAAAACACTCGCATAAATTTATATTAATTTAATCAAACTTGTGCCAAGCAAATTATATATGAAAAATGTTAAATTGTATGCACAACACAACTGAAAATATAAATTCATGTAGATTCTAATAAATAGACAAGTTGACCTTTTTACAGGTGCCTATAACCGACACTTCAAAAGAATTGTTTAGACGCTGCGACTTTACTCAACCGAAATCAAAGAGGTTGCTAACTTTGACATTCGCCGATCATTTTTGTGAAGAAAAGATTATACATGTCTTTAATAATTGCTCACGTAAACATCAAGTGAAAAGAAAATATTTTCATCGGATTATTATTAGTTCAATTATTTTAGTGCGAGTCAAAATAGTTTGTGTGTGTGTATTGGTCTTCGTTTTTTTTAATCAATGTTTGTCAAAATCGGATCCATCAGGCAGCATTAAAAATAGGTTTTTTAAATGGATTTTAATTATTATTTTTTTTAATTACACTGGAATGGCAGGTGAGTTGATTTTTACAGAAAAAGAACACAGTGAAATCACTGCGAATGAACACCTCAACACATCGTGTCCGTGACCACCATGTTTGAGGCCGCTTATCACCGTGAAAACCCTTTCTTGGGGGTTCAAAATATGGTGAACACGCTTGAGCAAAATCGCGGGGTAGGGTGTGCGTTGGGAAAGTTATGCGATGTGCGTACTGTAGCTAACAACTGGTACTATACCAATGCCTATGTTTTGTAATGTTTCAAATGGCCCAGGAAAAGATACCATATGATCCCTCGTAATACTAAAGCTACAAATAAATTACGAATAATATTCACAAGTGTGTTGGAACTGAAACAAAAATACTTCCATGTAAAAAAAATGCTACATGCAGACGGTAACGTTATCAAGGCTCTGACTCCTCATCTTCATATATCAAGTTGAATGTGATATGTGCCATCAGTTAATAATTGTGAAAAGCAAGTTGAAAGAGAGTAGGTTTAATATATGTGATAGCTTACTAGAAAGATGAATACATAATCATTAATTGAAGAATAATGAAAAAAACTTACAATGCATCATCAGACCTACAGTAGACAAGTGCTTTTGTCATCATGCCCATTCTTTCACTTTTACTGGCCATTTCATTTTTCTAGGTAACCCAGGTAATCTACACCAGAACAAATGGATATCCATAGTACTGAAAATTAAATGAAAGATATCACTACATTATCATTGATGTTGGTGTCTAGTTACTCTTATTCTAGAGTGTATTCACAGCGAGCATTTCCTTTCAATAACAAAAAATATAGACACTTATCTCTAATCATAATCCAATTAAATCCATGAAATGAGCAATGATGTTTTCACAGCTGCAAGCTTAATTTCTCCAAAATAAAGATATTGTGAACCTTTCGATTTCAAGTTAATTTTTAACTGTGTAAAGCAGTCTGTTAGGGGTGGAGTTATACGTTACATGGTAGATGTCTAAGGTGTAATAGGTCATAGAGCACCACGTCATTGGCCATATTACCGCGATATTCATTTAAACTAATCCGACTCTGGTTTTGTTAAAATTTTCACAGAATTGGTGGGGAAGAAAATAAGGACCTGGGAGCAAGAATACTACGGTTATTCTTTGCACTTATTTTATTTGTATATAACTTATGGATATATTAAGTGAATAAGTATTAAGATTGCAAACAATGAGAGCTTTATTAAGATTTACTTATACCTCGATTGTTTACAAAAAAGGTCGATAAGATTACTTACTTCAGGTAAGCATATTTTAGTATACGGTATCTTCCTTAGCTGTAGAAGTGAGACACAGGATTGTTGACATGATCTTTGGGCGCTAAAAACAGAAGCATAAAGTGATAGCTAAATGAATGAATATGATTAAGTTCTTCACGGAATATTTAATTTGTCTTCCAGTAGTGTCTGGTTTGATATGCTTGTTCGTTTGCAGTATTCATGCATACGTCCGCCTTGTAGTTCTGCTGTGTGGACCACTTCTCAAGAGTAGGCACGAATTTTATCGTAAAGAAACACAAGCAACTCAGTTAAAATGTATTGAAGTCAGTATAATAGTAATAAAAAGTAGCCGTAGGAATTTTAAAATGTTAGCTAGTACAATAGTTTATGATATGTAGATGTAGTCAAGTTGAATTACACAAACATCTAGACTAAGTTACATAATCGATAACCGGTGCATTATTATGTAAGCCACGAAGACAGGTGCATTGTTTGTTTATATAGTATAAGATACAACGCGGTACGAAGACAAATTATCAATTGCAAATACACACTCTTTTGAAACTGTACTGTAAGAATCCCGTGACCCATGACAGAAACAGACAGTTTGAGTCCACAAAGTTAATCACTAGATACCATCTTAACAGATATCAAAATCAGTGTGCAGAGGATTAAAAGTAGTAAAATACAAAATTAACACTATCAGGTCAATCAACACGTCCGCCATTTTACAAATGTTGTCTACACGGTTACCACTAAAAGATACGCAGTGGAGATTTTTTGGCCCGCAACGGACGCACAACATGTATTACTTTCATGTCTGCAACAACACATGCATTAGAGAAAAGACACTATTCTTTATGTATCTTATTTATAAAAATAAATCGATTAGAGTAGATATATAAAGTTAGTTCAACATATTGAAACACATAAGTAATTTGACTACTCACCTTGCGCACATGGTCAGATGAATTTCAGCGCATGCGCGATATTCTGGCCAGGTAGCTGCGTATTTGGTTCCCACTTGTAATTTACTATTTATGTTGAGTCGCGGACTAACAATATGTAACGGAAATCAATCTAGAATATGCAGTATATACCGTGAGACGAAGGTTGAGCTGATTAAAGGGAGAAACACTGAAAAGGACAGTACGATGTCGCGGTTAGACGGAACATTTTTCCGTCAAATAATGTGGTCTTTTTTTCTTTATACTATTGGCCTCTTTAAAGAAGCCGAATGAAAGAACATTTATACCTAGCTATGCTGAGAGGATGTGGGGTTGAAGTGTGGCTAGGGTGGTCAAGCATATTGTGAGGATCGAATGGTGCACATAAAGCTGTCTGTACTAGCGATGTAGACACATGGGAGAACAGGCAATTGTAGTAGAGCGGAGGACGAAGGTCGACGGGACGTGAGGAGCATGTAATTTTTAGTATCCGCCGCCGGTTTCGGCCGGGGGGTAGAAAAAGTTGACGTGATTGGTGTGAGAGATAGGGTGCGCTTTCATGGACGGTAGTGGTAGTTGCAGGCCTATTCTCGTCAGCGCGCCCGTAGCACGCGGCTTAAGCAGTAGTCAGACTTTAAACATGAAAAAGTGAATGAAGAAGTTTTTGAAGTTAGATGTGTCTGGCATATGTGTTAGTAACGCGGTGGGGTTTTCAGGTTAGTCAGGGACATATTTTCCTTTACAAACTCATTGATAGGTGATCGCAGGTAACGGTACTACAGCAGATTTGTTCAGATAAAGCTATCAGTTAATCCACGTCAGTCTAAATAAAAGATTTGTTTTAATTTAAGGTCGGGAATCAAACTTTTGTATTTTATTCCAACTTTTAAAGATATATAAAGATTACAAATAAAACAAAATAACTGACATATAATATGATGAATACAAGAATTTAATTATAAATAAATATGTATTTTTCTTCATGAAAAAAACTTCTCACCTGTGCTTCATTCAGAAAAAATAATTGGTTAGGTGTATAATCTAACCCAGGTAGTTTCTGCTCTTCTATACCTTGCCGGCTTCTTTTTACCCAATTACGATATGCCTGGTTTAAAAAAAAGGCAGAATATAGTCAAACGTAGCATTGTCGGATCATATTCGTTACAAATCACAATTGTAACAGTTTCTTTTACAGTCCTGTTTGCAAATAGGATCGTATTCGTAAAAGGTAACATGTGTTACAAGTGATTTGTCCAAAGTGGTGGTTGATACATGTTAAAGGCTATTTAAGCAATAAGGTCGTCTTAAATACTACTTCATTAAATCACTTAATCTCCTTTTTACATCAATAATAGTTTGGATGAATTTTACTCTTAGATCGGGAATGTATAATAAGAATTTATCCTTAGCGTCTATACAGGGCGGAAATTACTTTTGGATATACAAATCAAATGTAGAAATCACAGTAAATCCCCCGGCGCGTGTGGGATTCTTCAAAATGGCTCGAGCATATAATAAGAATCACATACCGGCTGTCAGTACAGACACGATTATCTAATTCGAGAGTAACTGTTTACATGGTAACAAGGCTCTTAAAAAAAGACTAATACATGTATACTTATACAGCACTGACTCATGTATGATTTGTTTCCATTTCCGTGAACTAGACTTTAGTACAATTACTAGCACGTTAGTACTTTCTGTATAGAACAAGAATGAATGTAAATTGTCAGCACTGGTATTACAGGGAAAATAAAGTGATGTAACATTAAACAAATATTTATTGGGAGTCTGTCTAAGTGAAATTAAATTTCAAAACATGTTTTCAAATTGATTCTTTGTATACCTGCAGTAATAACCCCTTAAATCTCCGAAGGACATATAACCTTTATACATTTGTATATATATTTGTATTTGTTTTATACCTTAAAGCTTTCCTTGCTTCCGCCATTATCTGCAATATTTTCTCCAGCCGTAAGTTCTCCATTAATCTAAATAAAGTAAATTAGACAAATATGAAAACAACAAAACAAGAAGTGATTATCCAATGTAACACAGAATCATTTCTTATTATGGACTGCTTTAAGGGAAAAAACCAACGAAATATTTGTAAGATTGGGTAAGTAACTATATTATAATTGTTTTTATATTTATACCTTGCAGAAATGTTAGCATTGATATTTCATTTAAATGTTTTATGTTATAAATTCATCGTAGTAGATATAGCCCTTGTGGCGTTAGATAGTTAAATGATGTAGTAGATATAGCCCTTGTAAGGGCGTTAATTAAATAGTTAAATTATTCCCTTATTAATGTTGATCGAGTCAGTCATTATCCTCGAATAGTGGAAATATTTGGTAAATTTCAGCTAATTGTTTTGTTTCTATATTGACCATTAATCATCCATATGTAAATAAGTATAAACAACTAAATGAGGTTTGTCAAAAAAAATGCATAACAGTTCCATTATGAAATATATAACGAATTATTTGCATTTCAGAAAAAAATGTATATACTATCGAAATGATTAAATAGTCCTGAAAATTCGTCATTACTATTTTATAATTTGTTTTGAACGTAAAACGTGTTCTTATATTAAATGTACAATCAATATACAACTAGCACCTAGTAAGATTTTCCAAATCGTTGACTGGTGAATCTGGTAGTTTTTATTTAACATAACATGAAGACATCATACATCAGCGTGTAAAAAACATTCTTGAAATGCGAACAGATCCGGGACGCCGAGTACCAGCTATTAATCAAAGACGAAAACGATGTTAGTTAATCTGCCTCTTAATTGAGTGAACTTTTCATAGAAAACACTAACGTCGAAATGGCACGATAACTTGCGCCGATAACTCTTCACTGCATAGTTTAAAATATTTCCAAATGTCTGTTTTTTTAAATCCTAATGTCGATTATTTTTAAACCCATATTTTAACATCTTTGAAATTGTGCATGTAAAGTGAAAATATGTTGAATTTACACAGTAAAGATTTGAAAACGCTATGCCAATTTGTATTTTATTTTTAAAGAAACGTTATGTGAACTTTTAGACAAACCTCGTAAATCAAACGTTCGGTGAATAGCATACCTTCATTCCGTCCGTACCAGAAACTGTAAAATTGTTGTACTGATCAACCAGGCACTGTTTACGCTTGTTGAATTCTGTTTCATCATAAGTCGTCCACCAGTCAACTAATTGTCCATTTTTATCAAAATGTCGACCTTATTTTAAAAATAATAATAAAAGATAGTGTTGAAAGTGCAAAAACCTTTGTCCTGATTGTAGTTTTGTATAACATTTCCCGGGAAGCAGATAGATGAAATCATGGAGCTCTTTGGTCTTGATCATAACTAGCTTTCTCTTTAAATATCAAAATTATATCAACTAAGCAAACCCATGCAATACATTCGCTATCAATAACAACATCTTTGACAGTAATGAAATAAATACAGACGCGGGAACCAATCTTGTCATCCAGGTCTCACTCATCATTTTGGAAATTGCTAAGCCGATTCCCGTTATATGTCAATGCCAGACCAAGACTAAGACTAAGAACCGTGCAAGTTGTTTACATTTATTGATCTATGTACATAAATGTATATAAGTTATAAAACTTAAATACAATAAGCAAAGTCTTTGTCAAATCACATGCTGAAATGACACATTATTACGAATGTTTTAAATTCATGACTAAATGATGCAAATGAGTCAATTTCAGCTCGCCATTTCAAGCAAATTAAACGCAACATTCGAGACCATAGGACCACATGCAAATATTTTGGCGTAGGTAGATTTGTACTAACTCAATGTTGTATTAATAAATTTATTCAAAGTAAAATACTTCCTTTAATTCTGGCCTTTTGCATTTTCATTGCCAAGTATCGGTGACGACTGTCCCAAAAGATGAAAAATAATAACTTTTTTTCTGACTTGCTAGGTAACGGGGGATTTTTTGTGCACGCCTGTATTTCCTGTGCTTACATAATTATCTTAATTAATCAGAAATGGCACATTATAAATTTAAAAATAGAGATATCAAATAAATTACCTCTATCATCAAACCCGTGTGTTATTTCATGTCCTATAACACTACCTATTCCACCATAATTCAAGTACCTGTGTAATTTTTAAATATATCAATGCTTATTTAGATCACGAAAATGCTTAAATAACTGTCTAATAAAACATTTCTTGATCATGTCACAATGTTTACAAATGTTTTCTAGTAATTCGACCGTTATTAACCGCCTTAAGAAAATGTTCACCCACTATAAAATACAGTTTAATATGCCATATAGAAGACCAAAAAAGAACTTAATATATTGTGGGGAAAGATATTTCGTGAATACTAGAATTGTGTTTCATTATAGCACAGATCCATTTTAATTACCACAAAGTTCCATTTTGATTATCGCAAAGGCTAAATACTTAATTTTATCATTTTATTATCAGAAAAAGCTGTCTAAATGTGCCGATTGGCGAGATATAACAAAACTGTGTTAAATTGACGTAAAAAAGAAAAAAGGGGGTAAAAGGGAAAAAAGTAATATAAATGATGAGAAAAGGCATCTTACTCAGGTTGGTCGTACGAGTAATATGGCGGTTGAAGAATGGCTGCTGGATAAACTGTAAAGACAATGTTTTATATAAGCTTCGAATACAGAAATAAAAATGCATTTTCATGAACAAAAATGTATTTAGCAACAGACTTGAATTAAATTTAATTGAATTATGTCAGGCTAATTTAAACAATGAACAATAGGCGGATATCAACATCAAATAAACTTTTAATTGCAATAAACTGATATTAATTAAAAATAGATAGGAAATGAATATAGACAAAATATACGATTAACGTCTATTTACCTGCATGTGTAACATTCCTGATAATGCATGATTTACAGAGTCAGAGCATTTACAATTCACAAACTTGTTGGATTAAGCTTCATAGGGGACAGGGTACATATTCGACTAATGCACCGATGTTTAAGATGTTTAAATTGCGAAAAAATGATATATTTCGAATTATGTTTTAAGGCCACTCTGCCTAGATATTTGCTCAATTTAGATCCTTCGTCCCTAAAAAGAATAATCTTTTGCCACAGGTAAACCAAGATATAACCAAATTTACCTATATCGCAAGAAGTCTATCCAGTCCAATTTAAGTGATTTGTGATTGAAATTCCTTAGGGTTAATCCTTAACCGAGAGGAAATATCTGTCACATCGTGAAATATGACCAGGCTCTATACTGCTGATAGCTAACGGTTTGTAGTTTGATATTGAAACTACTTCAATCTGACAATGACAAAATTCTATAAAGGGCTAATATATTACATAAATTCAGCTGAGCAAAGGTAAATAAAGATGAACTAGTTATTCTAGCAAACAGTTTACCCATCTGATTGGTGAGAAACATGTTGAACGCATTGACAGATGCAGCCGAATTATACCATCTGGAAATAAAAGATGATTGGTTTCGTGTCTAAAGTAATACACTTCGAAAACAAAACTGTACAAACATTTTACCAAGTTGTCACTATTGTTTAGTAAAATGTAAAATGTGCAAATGTGAATGTAATAACTGTGAACATTATTGACTTTTTTATGTAGATTGTGCAAGTAAGTCGCACCAATCCCTACACATTTAGGCAAAAAGCATATTAACAGATATATCGATAAATAATCGTAACAAAAACAGTCGAGTTTGCTAAAAGCATTTTATTGTTTATAAATTTCACTATCTCATTTTATGACATTTTTTTAAAGATTGATTAATTTTGTACTATAAAATGTTTATATGGTACAATATGATGACGTGCACGTGTAATTTGGAAAATACCTTGCTCTATCATATGGTTGGCGAAGTGTTTGCAGCATACGAACATTGTCGGCCTTGTCAATGCTTACTTTTGTTCCAAACGGGTCTCCGTTGTCAACAGTTGCCTTGAAATGTTGATCAGTTTATATACCACATATATATCTTTCAAGTATTGTCAATAAATAAAATAAAAAATTAAAGCTTTGCTTCCTTATATGTTTCTGAAACTCAAAATGGACCTAAATAAATGAAACCTTTTCCACTGGTTTACAAGCGTGAGAGAAATGCACTTCCGTTACCAAACAACGTTGAAGATAATAACCGACCTTTATTTATCTGTATTCAATACGTTTTTATACTGTATTGCATCAATAGTTAATTCGTTTTGTTATTCTATTATAAAATCTATTAATAAAAGAACACAAATAATAAGATCAAAATTACGATTATGCAAACGTTGCCAGACCGTCATTGTCTGGTACACTTCGCTTCAAATAGTTCATCGGATATGTTTATGATATATATGAGATGTAAAATTACATGTCACTTACGTTCTCATAATACGTCTCCAGAGCAACGTCGTTGAAAGTAATTGCTGGATAACCAATAAGTGTTTCCATAGATTCCGCCTGAAAGTAAACATATGTGACTCAAAAATACATATTTGTTCAGACGCATTTGTCAAACCTATTCTTGTTTGTTTCATAAGAGAAAAATGATATACGAACGGAGGCAAACAATTGGAACAATATAATGAAATTAATGCAACATGATTTTACTTTATTTTGAATATCTTAAAACGAATCTTTTCTTTATTATTACATATAAAATTATAAAATTATTTTTCAAATTGTCATAATATTCGCATTCATTTTACCGTATCCCATGCTACATGTATTTAATACGTTTGAAATAAAGTCATGCTGCCAACCATCAACCACATATTGCGTCACGTGATGATAATAAATTCTCATGTGATGAAATAGATACAAAATTATACAACTGAGCTACTTCATAAATACATTGAACTTTAGGTTCAAATATTCTTTGTGCTTTGTTTACCTTCTCTTTTGCAGTTTGTTTTGTGACGTCATCTAACCACGTGCTGTCGTCGACCATATTCAAAAATGCCGTCCTAAGATTTTCAACCAATTCTAGAACCTTAAATGGCAAATAACTGTATTTAAGTACACTCTCAGTGACCGATGATTACCATTGTTTACGCATGTTTTACGCCATGTTTTGAATACACAGCTTATATAACATCAAAGCATTAGATCTTACTGTTATCAAAGAGAAAAGTATTGAGTAGATCGTATGTAAATTTATGTCAAGCACGATGGTTATTCTCTTTGATCAACTTTCTTTCATATAAACAGTGACTATTTTATCTTGTTACATTAGGGTGAACGTTTCGGTTGTCTAAAATAGCGTTTTTCGTGCGTGCGTTTTTCGTATATACATGTATTTCGTGCCTATATCGTGCAACTTGCGTTTAATAAAACGCTTTCTCAAGCGTGCATCATTTACAAGCGTTTAACGTTTACCTTTTTCGTGTATCGTTTTTCGTTTATCGTGAATTTAAAACAAATAATGATATTTTGTAAGAATATCCAAATGATAGATTTTGATTATTTTTATTAATATTTGAAATACTTAATATGGTAAATATGCCGATTGTAGACCAATCCACTTTGTCCATTGCAGATATATTATGCCTAAGAAACGTGTATTTTTCCTTCTTTGTTAATTTACAGATATGATTTTTTATAACAATACAATAGTTTAAAATCAGGGTTTTAAAAATGTTAGATGCTGAGTAGCACCGAATGTGAAATTATAGGTTATAAAAACAGCAAAATGTAAAAGTAGCATCTTGATTTCAATACTAATACTATATTGCTCTAACTACTGTTTACCGAAAGGTTACAAAACCAAACGATGGTACATTTAGTAACATTTTGGAAATTTCAACAGAATACAAAAAATAAAAAGGTTTTGTGAAATAATAGTAAAAGCATCATAGGCCTCTCTAACAGAAAAAAAAACTTTCTTGATTTTTGAAACATATTTCAGTATGAATAATGACGAAGAATTTAGTTATAAGGCGTTTATCAAAACATCAGTGGCGGGAATTAGATTTTAAACATACTTACATCTTTTTGTGCGTCTTCACCAAATGCTTCTTCGACAAACAGACGACCAACGACTTCCGGGAAATCATTTTTGGCAAGGTCTGCGCAGTCCCGCCATCTGGGAGATTCTCGTGAGGCTCCGCTGAATACCTAGTGATATTGTTAATTATATGTATAAATATATACATGTGAAGTTAGGTTTGGTATAAAAATGGCTATATTCTCGTTGATATGAAATTTGAGATATTTATTACAAAATAAAAATGAGTACGCCAAACTTCAAATAAAAGCATGCATATATTTTTTGATGCTTTAAAGGGTGTATTCGTAGTTTGTTGTTTTTTTAGGTGCGGGCGTGGGGTTGGAGGTGATATTTTGGGTTGGGAAAGCTAGGGTGCTGTGTTGTTGTTATTGTTATTGTTGCTGTTTTGACATTTTTGTCTGTTTTGTTTTGTTTCTTGTTGTTGTTTTTTTGTTGTTGTTGTTTTAGGGGTGGAGTTTTGTTGTTGTTGATTGTTTAGTTTATTTTACAATATATGCGTTTTTATTATTATTTGAAAATAAATTCAGGGCTTTAGAACTGGTCTTCCGAGTATTGCTTTGTTGTTGCTGTTTTTCAGTTTATGAAGATGTCTTTGAAAAAATTATCTTTTTTTTATATTTTCAACAGTACCTTTGCATTTTTACTGACCATTGTTTGTTCAACGAAATACGATTTTATATATTGTTATACCAAATAATTAAATAAAACGGATATATTCACATACCTGTTTAAATCTAAGGTAAATGTCCTTAAGTGTTTTAGGATAAAATAATACGTCCCCATTTAAAATGATACGGCCGACCAAGTAATTTGCGAGAACCCTGAAAATGAAAAACAGTTAAATCAGTATGCATTGTCTTGAATCAGGCATGTCATGCAATGATTGTAGGGTTCACTATAATATAACATAACATATAGTTTATTAGTATAATATGTGTTAACATACATACATAGCCATTTACAATGCAAGAAATACAGACATGAAATTTTTAACAGAAGAACATGATCAATTCAAAAAAAGGATAAGTATATTGATAACATGTACATTCAGTCAATTTTCAAAAAAAAAAACAATACAAATTATCTGCAACTGTGACTAGATCAGTAAATAAAAAATTAACTATAAAAAATTACGTTTCTTTGATCATTATATAGTATGATAGTATAAAATACTAAATAAATCGCCAGTGTTTTTAAACATTGTTATTGGTATTTCGTAGTTGAAAGGCAGAATAAAAATTTAGCAACGTTGGTAATACTTTTTGAGGATTCACATGATAGAAGGCTTATGAACTTTTGGATTGATGGCCATCTACAATAATATGGTTTAAAGTATTTGATTCTTAGTTCTCTATATTTCGGGCATACTAATAAAAAATGATACTCATTTTCAATCATGCGCATATTACATTCTTGGCAAATTCGAAGTTGTCGATCGACATTTGTGTATCTTCAAGTTTCGATAGCTAGTTGATGAGAAGACAATCTAAATGATCGAACAGATTACATTTATCTTTATTGGTTAATTCTACTTGGTTGAAAATAATGAACAAGTTGTGTAAAGCATATGATGCATACTGTGCTATCCTGCTTTGCGTTCTGTACCAAGAACCATTTTTATATAGGTGCGTTCCTAAGTATTTGAAGGATTTAACAACCTCTAATTGTTGTTCACATAAAATAAAATTATGTTGTGTATGACGGCCCCTTTCGAAAATCATTATTTTGTTTTGTCGGTGTTTATTTTTAGGCTCCAAATATCACAATATGCTTCTAGTTTGTTTAGTAAATCTTGAAGTGCATTTTGAGTGTTTGCAAAAAGTACCGAATTATCGGCAAACAGTAAAATGAACAGTTTTAGCTCGTCTAGATTAAATATTCCTTCGATGTCTGTGTTTAAATTTTCGACGATATCATTTATTAAGTATAGAAGCATTAGACTAGAACTTGGGTCTCCTTGTTTGACCCCAATATGAGGTTCGAAGAAGTCTGAGTATTGTTTTTTATATCGAATACATTGTTTAACTACACTATACATAGATTGCATAGCTTTAAAACCGCCTCCGTGGTCGAGGGGTTAGAGTCGATGACTTCTAATCCAGTTACCTCTCTGGCGTGGGTTCGATCCCCGGGAGATGCTTTGGTAGTTTAGCGCGGAGGAAGGTAGTCTAGTACTGGTGTAACTCTCCAGGAACGATGGTTAGGAAACTACCCGCCAATATGACTGAAATACTGTTGAAAAAGGTGTAAAATGAAACAAACAAACAAACAAGCATAGCTTTAACAATTTTTGAACTGACATTTTCAGAAATAAGTTTTTGCCATATTAACGTTCTATTTTGTCGAAACAGTTTTCATAATCTACAAAAGCTGTGTTAAGTTTTTTGCCACAACTGAATGATTTTGCGATGACTGAGTTTAATAAAAAGATACAATCCGTAGTTGTTCTACCCTTTTGTAAGCCAAATTTATGATCATTTAATTTTTCATTAAATTGCGACCATTTTGTGACTCTATTTAATAATACTTGCGAATATATTTTACCTAGTATATTTATAAGACATATACCTCTATATTTGTTTGGATCATCTATGTTCCCTCCTTTAAAGATAGGTACAATAATTCCCAATTTGGTTTTGTTTTATTGTGCAACGTTTTTGTTTTGCCAAACACATCAAAAGAATGCTTACGTATTATATCAACAAACTCTTTGACAACATTATTTATATTAGTTTCTGCATTTTCAATTGACGATATGACATTTTGTAGATGTTGTTCATCTAGCCTTCTGTGTATTCATTATTGTCATCATCTAATTGCCTTAATGTATTTGAATCTACATTTCACTCTTTTAAGCAATTATTTCAAAAGTTTGCTAAGCCCGCATTTAAACAAACAGTTTGTTTTAGTTTCTTACCTCGAAGGATATTTGGCTAGAACATTACCGATTTTCTCAAAATAGTCACGTGATGAAGCTAGTACTTGTTCTGATTCATTTATTGACATTCCAACGATGTTCATTGTTCCATTAATTAGTTTCAGCCAGTCAATCTTAAAATATTAAATTCTAACATTCTTTAGTACATCTATATTCCTTTGAATAGTTAAAGCAGCATGCATCAAGAATAATGCTTATTTTCATGAAATTTTTGATAATGTAATTTAAAGCATAATATTGTATAGTAACCAAAAGGAAGCAATTAACACATTACTAATGGGACTTACAACCCACGTTAATAACAAAAAGAGGTGAACATATGCGAAAATTGCCCTCACTGAGTTGTAGTAGCAGTAGAAATATAGTTACCAACTATTAATTGCTCATAACATGTAAATTATTAGTTGAATCTTGAATCTTTCTACTTTTCCTAAGCTTATAGTACATTTCCCTCAAGTTTAAATTTATTGAAATATTTTCGCTCACCTGTAAGCAAGATGCTTTCATCTTGATTATCAGTTAAAACTGCCATATAATGAAATGCTAAATTGTTATTTAGTCTGATCGAAGATATTTTTATTACGTAGTATACTATAAAATCTGTAGATCATCTGTAACATAGAATAAAATTGAGCCATGTCATGACAAAACCAACATAATGGGTCTGCGATCAGCATGGATCCAGAACAGCTTGCGCATCCGTGCAGTCTGATCAGGATCCATGCTGTTCGCTATCAGTTTCTCTTCTTGTAATAGGGTTTGTAAGCGAACAGCATGGATCCTGATCAGACTGCGACACGGCTCAAATGTTACTGAACCGTATTTTCTTTTTCTCGTAGTGAAATTAAATAAATGCAGGTATAGTTATTATTTTTTTAAAATCAACAATTCACTGATTACCCCTTTATATTTATTGATTAATTCTCTGACAGTCATTTTGTTGTAATAGTACTTTGGATTCCGGCTTTTCTGTAACGGGATGGTTATCTGAAATAAATAGTTTACAATATATATTCATTATTCAAAAATTGATCACAAAAAAGTAGCTTCTATCAAATTATTTAAAGAATGTTCACAAATAATTGCTAGCCTAGTATTACATGATTCAAAAAATGTTCACAAACAATTGCTGGTCTTGTATTAAATTAAAAACAAAATCACGAATAATTGTTGGCCGGAAATATTGTGGTAGTATTTAATGTTTGAATGATTGTTCAAATATAAATGCCAGCCTTGTATTAAATGATTCAAAGACTGTTCGCATATAATTGCCAGCCTTGTATTAAATGATTCAAAGACTGTTCGCATATAATTGCCAGCCTTGTATTAAATGATTCAAAGACTGTTCGCATATAATTGCCAGCCTTGTATTAAATTTTTCAAAGAATGTTCACAAAAAATGGCTGGTCTTGTAATAAATGAGTCAAAGAACTGTCACAATTAATTGCTGGCGTTGTATTCACTGATTCAAAGAATATTCACAAATAATTGCTTGCCTTGTAATAAATTATTCAAAGAATGTCCGCATATAATTGCTGGTCTTGTAATAAATTATTCAAAAAATATCCACATATAATTGCTGGTCTTGCAATAAATGATTCAAAGACTGTTCACATATAATTGCTTGCGTTGTATTAAATGATTCAAAGAATGTTCACAAATAGTTGCTGGACTTGTATTAAATGATTAAAAAAAATGTTCATATATAATTGCTGGCCGAATATTAAATGATTAAAAATGTTCACAAATAATTGTTTGCCTTATATTAAATGATTCATATAATGTTCAAATATAATTACTTGCCTTGTATTAAATTTTTCAAAGAATGTTCACATATAATTTCTTGCTTTGTATTAAATGATTCAAAGAATGTTAACATATAATTTCTGACTAACATATAATTTCTGACCTTGTATTAAATTATTCAAAGAATGTTTACATTTAATAATAGGTCTGGTACTAAAGGATTCAAAGAATGAAAGATTGTTCACACCGAAATGCCGGCCAAAAATATGACTCAAAAATATGATATTGAGAGGTAATAAGACCAAGTATTCTAAAAAAGTGAAAAGTTGTCATTATTGGTAATGATAATAATAAATTACGTAAAAAAAAACAAACATATTTGAAACTACCTACATTAGCAATTTCTATTTCAAAGTCTACGACGTCTCTAGCGGCATCCGCGGCAGTGTCAGGATCAGCACCAAACGCTACATAACTTTCTTCAAGCATCCTCTGATACGCCGTTATATACTTACTTTCACGGTCTGTCAGGTAATACTCACGACTTGGCATCCCAAGCCATGGAGAAGAGAGCTAAATGTAATCATAATACAATACAATAATATAGTATTATCCAACAACATTGACCTGGCACTCTTGCATTTGACCCTGAAGTCGGTATATGCCCCATTTGTAAATCGATATGAGCGGAAATAGCCAATAATTAAAATGGTGAAAAAAAAATATTCTCTCAGCACAGTTGGTAAAAGGGCTTTACTTGAAGAATGTAGGCGTGAACTGGAAGTTCGAATCCTATTTCAGCGATTCTTTTTTCTTTTAATTTTAAAATTGTCATTCTCTAGAAACTATTGCAAACCTTTTTGTTGCGTGTACTATCTATATAATATTATCTATGTAGTATTTTAATAACTGCCTTTATAGCGTGTATGTGCTAAAGCATATTCGATTGCATAATGTCACAAAGAGAACCGTTGAAAGATACTGTAATGAAATAAAAAATATAATTGTGTAAAAAAACACCACTTAAAAGGTATTCTAAAACCAGGTGTAGTAAAACGATTTCAAATTTATTCTTGCAAGGAAACTAAAAAAAATCATAACGTGGTGTTGGCAAGGAATCGAACCAAAGACCTTCAGATCGGTAGTCCGACATCTATACCAATACACCACACATCACTGGTGGGTGAAGTTAGAAAATATATCGATATATTCGATAGATACTGGTCAGCGTTTATCGAAATAACCTTTACGAAAGTTAATGACGCGCCAGATCAATATTGTTGGACAAAAGCATAAAAACATGTACCAAACATATGTAAATAAAAAGAATTAATCAAATACATCTTAAAGCGGCCTTCAGCTTTCATTTTCTGTAGGAAAAAACAATTCTGTGTTGTTTCAAACTTAGTATTTCAGGAATTCTATCTTGAAAAAAGTTCATCATATCACTGTTAAGCATTCTTCGACACAGCGCAAGTGCTATTAATAACGTGTGAGGGACGTTCATTTCTTTAAGTAGAAGATTGGGAAATCAATATTCCCTTTATAAATCTAAATATAGAAATAAGACCTTTTACTTATTGTTTATGTATTTTATTGTTGGCAAATTTCATTTCCAACCTTAATTCTTTTGATTTTCCAATAAGATGAAACGGTTTATCTAAAAATAGCATATCTTACGTTTAATAAGCTAAAGGCAACTTTTTCAGGTACAAAATTACAATATCACCAAACTAAATATCCTTATTGCAGCTTTTAAATTGTTTCATATTTTAAGGAAGGGCAAACGTTCATTTTTATGGTGTTTATTAAAATACTTTTTTGTGAAATGAATTACTAGTATTACATCAAATTACTGATATCATGTATTCAGATCATGTATTCAGGGCTTAGTTACTACAAATCATAGGCGAATTCGTGAATATTTCTGAAGACTCTTTGGATACTCTTTGTCTCTTTAATGCTTTACTAACATGCATAAGCTATTCAGCAAGACACTTTAAGACCTATAATTCCATTTAGGTGCCAACATGTTTTGCAGACAGTGCACATAGTTATATTCTGGGTCGTAATTAGTATGTAGACAGAAAGCAATACACATATATCTTTTAGAAACAAAATTGGTATAAATAAAATATAGTTTGTACTTACAATTATTATGTTAGATACAGATTGTTTTAAATCTTTGTTGATGCTGAAATGTATCAGCGGCATGCTATTCCCTTGCCGTACAGATTCTACCAACAAATCTTCAACACTGAAATTATTTTCAGACCAACGTCCGCCATGTTGAGAGCCTAGAACTGGCCAGCCGCCAAACTTTACAATAAACTCCTTTATGGGCCCAAGTCCATACTCTTCCACGGCATCTTTTGTGTAAATGTAAAATTAAAGAGGGTGATATTGGAAGAAATATATAGTTTCAAAGCGTCAAATTATAAGTAGTTTATACAATTGATATACAGTATTTCAAGCTGAAATAGTACGTTTTTCAATTATTTCAAAAATCTAGAAAATGAATATGATATTCAAAAGTAAATTTAATCGCGTTCAGTTGATACACAGAGTTGTTAAAGAGTCATTTAGAGATGAAATGTTAAATTCTTGCCTTATTATTGTCTTATTATTGTCCTTTGTTGTTTTTTTTTTCTCAAGTTTTTGGCAGAGCAAGTATGACAATGTTTTATATAATCAACTAACCTTGGTTCATACATGATTTGTAAAAGTCCCTTGCCTTTTGGACCACCTTTGGATGATTTTGATTGTTATCGGCTTCTAACAACCCTGTGACAAATAGTTTGAATTGAAATCATGACATTTGCATCGCGTCACGACAAAACCAACATAGTGCGTTTGCGACCAGCATGGATCCAGACCAGCCTGCGCATCCGCGCAGTCTGATCAGGATCCATGCTGTTCGCTATCAGTTTCTCTACTTGTAATAGGGCTTGTAAGCGAACCCTGTGACAGATAGTTTGAATTGAAATCATGACATTTCATGAGATAATAGGTAGAATTATTGACATTTCGAATGAAGGGAAATGACACAATTAAATGCAGGGGAAATGAAAGCGTCATTATATTAATACCAAGTTATTTATTTATCTATCATATTATATGTAGTTTGAGGCGACCATGATTGACAAAATTAAACCAGTGTTCAGAAGATATCAAATTGGAAAGAACAGATAATTTGAATACACACGATCGACCTTTTGCAAATCTGAAACTATTTGTACTGACACTTTACGCATAGCATCATAGTTACATAATGTTATCAGACCGTTCTTTGTAGAGAAGAAAAACGAAAACGTTAAAAGCGTTATAACATTCTTTTTATGAAAACGTTATAACATTCTTTTGTAAAAACGTTATTACATTCTTCTGAGAAAAAAAAACGTTATTACATTCTTTTGTAAAACATTTTAACATTTTAGGGGTAACGTTGTAACATTCGTGTTAAAAAACGACACGTTATTACAATCTTTTGAAGATTCTTTTGTAAAATACATTTTTACATTCTTCGGGGAATATTTGTCACATTCTTTAAAAAAAAAAATACAACACTGTTTTTTTAAAAAAAAAACGTTAAAAACGTTCTTTGTAAAAAAAACTATTTCATTCTTAAATAAAAAATTAAAACATTCTTTTGTATTAAAACCGTTATTTACTTAGTCCAAACGATGGTTTATACAAAGTGCGCTTTGCTTTATGCTTTATAAGTAAGATTTCTTTAAATGTGATGCTAAATAATTTGTATTTTACGAATCAACACCAGTAACGCAGAAATCAGCTGAAAATCATAAAAATATTTTACTTCTCTAACTACAATGTATTAGGTATAATGATCCTATCGTATGCAGCTATATTTTCATATTTCACATGGGAGCACGCATTTTGATAAATTGATTAAATTTTCTAGGATGCAAATGTTGAACTCAAACATAAAAATTGTTTGTATGTTACCTTTGACAGTGACTGCAACTTTTTCTCGAACCTCCGCAAAAACACTTACTGAACTTTTATGCTCAGGGATGACATTGCTCTTTATCCACGATCCACAAGCAAATGTATAGAAGTTGTCACAAGGATTTACAGACGTGTCAATTCCATTAAGTACACGAGCAGCTGAAACGGTATTTTCATAAAACAAACATAAAATATAACATGGATATATAAGTCAAAGATTATTGAATTTTAGTTTAATCATACTTTATTGTATAAATACACATACATAAAATTTCACAATTATACATCATTAAACATAAATACAATAATGTAAATATATAAAAGGGTTGAGCCAAAACTTATAACAACATTATCGAGGGCCCTTACCTAATACATATTATGCTTATCCTTGAGTAAAATATTTTGATAACAGAAATGTATTGAAATCTACTAAATTCTTATTGAATATGTCTTGAATAAAAGAACGAAAAACCTATGTACGGAAAGCTGCATGGGTTCCCTATTACAAAAAAACTGCCAGTATTTTAATGAAACAATATATCGATATTATGACCACATATAGTGTATAGAATTTAAATATAACATATCTGCTTGCTGTTAAGTCAAAACATGTTTGTTTTATTTTTACAAAAAGACTGTATAGCAATTATCAATATGTTCTTATATCAAATTTAAGCAAAGTATATCATAGTAAAATTCTACATTTTCTGATATTTAGAAAACCTCGCCAAATTACCAGCATATCTCGGTCTTTTATACTTTGGCTGATTATGTTTATGCATTTATTTAGTATACAACAAATGATCGGAAATTTTGTGACAAATTAATCGGATATGTTGTTACTTTTTAGATAAAATGATTAAATCTACAAAGTAACTGGCTTGGTTCAAGATCAAGATCATATGGTGACTCTTCAGCTTTACTGGTGGAGGAAGACTCCACGTACCTCTTTAGATGACTTGATTATACACCAAACAAAACAAAAATATTTTTTATACAAAAAGGCTTAAATCTTTTTAATGAATGTTTTACCTGCAACCACACAGCCTGGTGTTAAACAAACTCCATCATCTGTTAGCTCTAGAAATAAATATAAATATCATACATATGATAAAGCTTTAAAAAGAATGGTAACTCGGAAACCAAGAAATATATTTTTGCTTTGTTGGCGTCCGCGCCGAAGCGCGGCGCCTCTTATGGAATGAAATCAGATTTTGTGAAAAGTCGGTCATAATAAAAACCGATCATTCCGATCGGTATGAGGGTGCTTGATTATTAATTAAAAATGAAATGTCGCGATATGTACAATGAAAAGCCAACTGGAGAATCTCGCAAAATGAAATAACATTTTCCGTAAAAAAAATGCGCTTTTCGGTTTTTTTTTTCATTTATCATTTTGTAGTACACAGTGGGTTATTATGGTATGTTATTGTTGTACATTTATCATAAAGCTGTAAATAGAATAATGAGTTGATGACCTAATTTTGGCTAAACATTCCGAAAATCTATTTATAGAGGGATGTACTCCTATCGGTAATTCCCGGTCTCTCCCGGTCTATTTTGACCGGGATTTACTAATGACCGGCGAATAGTCTCACACGTTTATTGTCCGGGGAGTCGTTACAGAACAGAACAATTATTTTACAGATAAATAAGCTTTTTTCCCAAAATGAATGTTTGTCACTTAATTTGGTTACAATAATTAATAAACACAGATCAACTCTCAAATTTATTGATTAATATTGTACATAAACATACAATTCGAAAAAAAAACACCGCCAACAACAATAGCATGTTTCATTTTATCTATATGAGATAAAAACAATAAATATGTACAATAATTGAGAAAAAAGGTACATTTTAAGGTATTGATATGACACTATCAACTTTGAAACATTTTATTTAATTTGTTTTTCGTGTTTAGTAAAGATGCCGAGGAATTATTCAAAGTTACAAATAAGATTTTATGAATTATTCAATTGATTGATAATTTAAAAAATGATAAAGAAAAATACAAATGTACATGTACGTGGTTAAAGAATAAACAATATTATATATTGAGAGATTAACAATAATTTACTGACTTTTTCCAGTTAAGTTTTGACATATAATCGTCGGTCGATAAAAAAAGGGTAGTAAACGTAAAAACTCAGTATTAAAATAGCACATAAAACACAAAAAAGATAAGAAAACAATATTCATAAAATCTGTAAAATGTTTTTATTAAAATAGATATTACAATTATTGTATAATAAATAATTATGCTCAACATGATCAACATGGTAATATAACCAGTGTCATATTTTTACTAAGTGTAAACATATACCTTAAGAGGGTGTTTTCGCTAATAGCGATAACATAATAAGGGACAATTACACAAGTGTGGTGTTGATCATGCGTTACACATATGGATTATAAATGATTGTATACATGTATATCCGTTGCTATTAATAACCACGATCATAAAGAAATAACAAGTAATATTCTAATCTCTAGCATGCCAATCAAAGTTCATAATGAACAATGTCTTTCGTCCGTGTAACATTTATAATTTTGAATAAGAAATATTTTTCTTTTCGTATGAAATAAGCTATACAGCAAGTCTATTGTTATAAACTCGATTTACTCTAATCAGTTTACTGGGCATCTGCTTCAACGAAGTAATGAAAAATATAATGTTATTGTTAATTGTCATATCTTTTTCTAGTTTTCGTTATGTCACAAAATATCAAGCAAATTACATTATTATCACAACATTTGTTCAAACAACTAGCATTGTCATCAAAAGAATGATTTGTTTTTCCGTTCTACCACACAAAACCAATTACAAGGTAAATTAAGAAAAACAAAAAGTATTAATTTCACGAATAACAGAATGTTCTCACATACGCTATCATTTTTTTTCCTAAGATTAATAAATCCAGCAAGCGGATATAAATGATACACTGCTATGATAGCAAATATAATCAGGGCATTATCATGGCCCACACATTTGAGTCATTAACCCTTATAGCTGTAACGAGAAATGGTATCATAGATTAAACCATTTTCTTTTTTCTTAATCTTCATAACGTCTCGGCGGTCGGCGTTTCCTCTGCGGCCTATTTCTAGGTAAAGATGTATTATCTGCAGGTTTCGTCTGCACCGGCTCTTGATCTCCATGAACATATCTCAATTTGGAAACGTCCCGTGTGATTTCTTTTCCTCTAGGTTTGATTGTAAGCATAGATCCTTTCATAGCGATGATTATCCCGGGGGTAGGGTCAAACGCTGTTTCAAACTTATTCCTTTGTTCCCGTTTTAATAGCACACGATCTCCCAGTTTCAAATTATTTCGCTGAGCTTTACGTTTCTTATCAGCGTATATTTTTCGTTTTTGATAGACTGTCCCTGTCTCTAATATCTGTGTCTTTGTTGTCAAATGTCATCTTTGGTAATTTTGTCTTTAATTTACGATTGAACATTAATTCACTAGGAGCTGTTTGTGTAGTTGTCTGTGGTGTGTTCCTGAAATTCATAAGATATCTACTTAACGCTCTTTTATAATCTTGTCTAGACGCTATCGCTGTTTTAATTGCTTTTTGCAGTGGCGCCATAAATCTCTCAACTATTCCATTTGCCTGTGGGTGCAATGGAGTGATTCGTTTATGTTTGAATCCCGAATTATCAGCAAATTCTCTGAATGCGCGACTTTGAAACGGAGGTCCATTGTCCGTTTTCACTACCTCTGGATATCCGAATATCGAAAATATCGCCTCTAATCGCGGTATGACTGTATCTGCGGCTGTCGATTTGATTCTTTCAACTACTGGAAATCTACTGTAGTCACATATAACAAATAGTAACATGTAACCGTCTGGAAATGGACCACAAAAGTCACAACTGACTTCAGAGAACACATCTCGTGGTAGTAATGTTGGTTTAATCGGGTCTGGAATAATTATTGTTGATGCAGCTTGGCATACAATGCATGATCTACACATTTCGTCTACCATTCTATCCATATGTAGAAACCAGCAGTATTCACGTAATAATCCTTTGCATTTTGATTGGCCTTGGTGACCTTCGTGCGAAAGCATAACAGTTTGTTTTTGCAAACTTTCTGGTATGCAAAGTTTTGTACCCCGTAAAAGCACAAATCCATCTTCCGTATATGCAACTGCAAGTTCTTGATTTTTATTCAAATTTTCGTATAACCGAAAACTTTCATCTAATTTGCATTTTTGAGTTTTCCAGTCATTTTGTTCTAACGCATTTCTTACACAGCTTAATATACAGTCCGTTTCGGTAGCTTTTGCTACATCTGACAGCTTCAATGCATCTGGCAAAGCGTTATCAGTAATAAAGCTGATATACTGCTCGGCTACTGTATTTGTTTCGTGTCTTGCATGTGGATGCCTGGAAAGATAATCTGATATCATCATTTTACCTGGTCTATAAACTGTTTGAAAATCATACGTTGTCAACTTCAAACGCCAACGTTCTAATCTTGGTGACTGCATTGTCTTTATATTGTTGAAGATTGACTGAAGTGCAGCATGATCTGTTATAAGTTTAAATTTCTTGCCGAATAAATACAAATGGAAATGCTGAATCATGATAACAGCACTCAAAGCTTCTCTTTCTGTTTGAGAATATCGCGTCTGAACTGAATTGTATGCTTTGCTTCCATATGATACTATTTTGCCGTTTTGAATAAGTATTCCTGAGCATCCAACTGGACTTCCGTCGACCCAGAGTTCAGTTTCCTTTCTAGGATCGAAATATGTCATGACACTTATTAAATTATCTTTTAATGATGTGAACGATTTTTCTTGGTCGGCAGTCCATTCAAATTTTACATCTTTATGTGTAAGTCGTCTTAATGGTTCTGTTAAACTTGAATGGCCATCTATGAACTTAGACAAATAGTTCGTGAGACCCAGAAATCAACGGATTTCGGATATTGATTTTGGTCTGTCCATATTTTTCACTGCATTTACTATGTCAGGATCGGGTGAAATTCCGGATTAGGAAAATACGTATCCGTAGAACTTGGATTTTAGATTGTCCGAATGAACATTTTTTGCTGTTCAGTGTGAGGTTTCTATCTTGAAGACGTTGCAGTAAAGCGCGAAGATTGGCATCGTGTTCCTCCTGTGTCTTACCAAAACATACGATGTCGTCGGCAATATTCAATATGCCTTTTAGACCTTGAAGTGCTTGACGAAGCTCATTTTGGAAAATTAACGGTGCTGCGGACACCCCGAAATTTAGACTTTTATAGCTAAACAGTCCAATATGTGTCTGAAACGTTGTCATTACACGTGATGCTTCATCCAATTCAATTTGATGGAAAGCTTTGTACAGATCTAGACGTGAAAATACCGTTGCGCCATTTAACGTCAATATGATATCATCCACCGTCGGGCAAACATTTTTCTCTGTTTTGATTGCGGTGTTAGCTTTTCTCATATCCACGCACACTCTCACTTCGTGTGGGGCATTAGGTTTCGGAGCTGCAACTAAGTTCGAAACCCAGGGTGTCGGTAAACCTATAACCTTTTCAATGACATCCATTTCCTCTAAACTTTTAAGTTCATTTTCGACTTGCGCACGTACATGAAATGGAACTCTCCTAGGCGTTTGAGCTACAGGTACAACGCTTTTATCAATATGAAACTTAACTTTTCTGTCTTTCAGACATCCTAAGCCTGTGAAAACTTGAGAATATTCTTCAATAAGTCCTGAATATGCGTCTTTGCTTTGAACTGATTTATGAACTGATTGTATTTGCGGTAAAATCCCAAGCTCTACCGATAATTCATAACTGATTAATGTTTCTTTGTTACCTTTAACGATATGGAAATCTTTTGTCATAAATTTTTGAGTCCGACTCCACAAGCAGGGAACATTTGCCTATGAATGGAAGTGGAGATTTCTGCCCGAATGCAAATGCTTTTGTTTTCGTTTTCTTGATTTCAGGACGAATTTTCATTTTCTTGAGGTCGATTTCGCTAATAATATTTAACGATGAACCGCTATCTATCAACACATTAACATCTACGCCATTTAATTTAATGCATTTCTTTGGCACTTTTTCCCCATCTGATATTTTAAATCCAAATAAAACATCGCACTCATTTGAACTGACACTCGACGTGCTTGCCTCTGATAAAACTTGTGAATCCGACTGTTCATCATCGATTAACTTCACCTTGTTTTGACGTTTTTCTGCAGACCGATATGAAATGATTCTTCTTATGACAGTAGTTACATTCTGCTCCGATAGCAGGGCAACGTGACATATGGGGCTACTTTCCTCCACAATTTCGGCATTTTTTATTTCAATCTGGAGGGTTGCTTCGCCTTCCCGACGACAAAACTTGCTTCTGGGATAGTTTGATATGAACGTTGCTGATAACGTTTAGGTGCGAATCCCTTTGATTGACGGCTAAATCGAGGATTGCTTTTTACCCGCACTACTTGCTGACTACTTTCATCCTTTGACATAGTTGCTGGTTGACTTTTTGATATTTCCATGGTTCTCATTTTTGTAAGTAAGTCATTAAGTGATTTATCCGGATCTTGTAAACACTGCATTCTCATGTTTTGTGAAACAACACCCTGTATGATCTGGCTTTTAATTTCTGAGTCAATGTCCGAAAATTCACAATTCTTAGCTTTCTGGCGTAATCTTGTTGTAAACTGGTCGATAGATTCCCCATGCAATTGCTTCATATTACGAAATTCGAATATTTCAAATTGTGTGTTGTTTCTTGGCTTAAAGTATGATGTTAATCCAAGTTTCGTTTCTTCGTAAGTTTTCATTGTCTTCTCTTAAATTCAATGTATCATAGATATCTTAAACATCATCTCCTGCTTAATGAAGTAACAGTGCTTTTTTTCGTTTTCTAGTGTTTATACCCAGTCCAACAAATAAGTTTTCTAATTTATCCAAATACTTTTCCCATCGTACTCCCAGAGAATTTTCATCAGCAAAAACATCGAATTTCGGAAAAGCAGGTAAATTGTCCATTTTCAAATCTGTTTTTTTTTCACAGAGTCAGTTTAAATTAAACCGCAGTTTTTTTTAAATATCCGATCCTCGTCGCCAATGTAACATTTATATTTTCTATTTGGATGGCTTACTAGCACACAAACTAAACAAGACCCGAAGGATGGTTTATATATTTTATTATATGTGTTGCATCCAAGTATACACTCATAAACTCCCAAACATCAAGTAAACATACACTCTAGTAACAATAACGATATTTGATATTAAAGGCGTGGCTTATTATATCTTGTAGACTTGCTTACTACAGTCCGATATAAAATTCTGGTAAAAACCAATTAACCATGGAAAATATTAAAAGAATATCTTGTCATCATATATCTACTAGTTCATCTTCACCTGCTGCATTTCTTGCTTGGACGCCCTTTGATGCTTTGCATCAATGCTTTTCTTGTTTTTTATTTATATCAAACCTTTTTGGAGGGTTAGGACAACGTCACGTGACAGCTTGCTGGTGTCGTACAGTAACAAGTTATCCCATCTGTAGGCCTTATGTAACTTCTTTCTTTGTATTTAATTTGGTTACTTTTTATAGGCAATTTCATTAATTTTTCATTGGAAATTTTGGGAGTTTTTAATCGGAATCGTGTGTGTTTTAATTAGAAATTTTGTAACTTTTCAATCAGAATTTTTGTGGCATTTTATTCGGAAATTTTGTGACATTCGGAAATTGTGTTGGATTTTAACAGGAAATCTTGTTACTTTTCAATTGGAAATTTTGTAACATTTTTATCAGAAATGTGTAACTTTTTAATTATAAGGGTTTCAAGGTAAACTTCAGAGAAAATTATAAAAGTACACAAAAATAACAAGCTTTTTTAAAATGAAAAATAAAGCATTTTGGGGGCATACTGGGCCTTTAATATATTATGAAACAAGCTACTTACGTGTGTGTATTCCACCTGTTCTAAAAATCAAAATGAAACCGATCACCAGCAAAGCCGAAATCATGCCTTTGATTTTACTTAATGTCTTACACTATGAGGATTGCTTTTTAGTTTGCTTTTGATCAACACAAAGCGGGTTTGTACGTCCGCAATATTTTAAATGATTCTCTCAATGTTAGGATGTATCTATGTTACACAAACATGAAATGGTATTTGGATAATGTCATTATTATATATTATTATATAAGTACAAAACTCGGAGATAATTTTACTAAATATTCTTTAAACGTAGGATGCGTTTGACAGACTATTCATTAAATGTCATTTACATCTGCATGAACGAATAATTTCATGAATTGCAGCTCTATAATATAATAAATTATAAATTTTTCTGGCGAAAAAAAAAAGAAAAATATGGGAAATGCGGATTAACTAACTGGGAAAACCAAATTTCACATGTTTTCTAGTCGGTTTTCCTCGTCGACGTTCTTTAGGAATTCTTTATTTCACAATATTTTATCGCCACATAATTAGCGTTGTTTGTGCAATGTGGAGGCCGCATAAAAAGTCGCTCCGTACATTTAGTCAGAGATGTTCTGTTTTAATTCTTAAAACTCGTTCAGCACGAAATCATTGTTATTTTGTGGTACTTTTAGTTTTTCTTTAAGCTTTTATCCCAGTCTAGTGGTTTAAGTATTACTTTGCTTGAATGCTGTGTAATCACCCTAAGGATATGTTGCCTGCTTTTTAAATGTGTCTTTTGCAAGTTTATGTGATATGCATGCTTCACAACCTCTGATCCCCTTTCAAAGTTATATCTTATTTTATTTCGCCCATTGTCTTTCCGTTTAGGGCACACTCATTTGTTTACTTGGAGAATACAGGGCCCTTTTCATGGAATGACACGAACGTGTCACATTTAAGGTTCCATGAAGACTGTCGTATAAACACATCTGCGCATGTTTCCAAATTCAAAGTTTGACCATTTCATGTTTTTCATTAGGGATTCTTTATTTCTCTCTTGTTTTAATCATATTTACCTGTTTTGGGCTGGTAATCGTCAATGTGCCTTTCTATATGCAAGACTTTATGAACAGTTTTTTTCATATCGTTTTCCCAAATCAGCCTGCCAGAAATCCAAGATATGGCTATCCAACATTATGCATTTGTAAATAGTTTCAATAGAGTGTGCATACATGTTAACCTGTCAAATTCACCATGTGTAACACTTGTAGCAGAAACATGTTTAAACTAGTTACCAAGATGTTAGATGTTAAAGCATTTTATTGTCATCATAAATTGTACATTTTCTGTCTTCAGTCTTTTCAAATCATGTAGACGTAACTCCATTTTTTTGGCATACATTTTTTTATTTAACTAATGATGTAAGGGACGTCCTTTGTCGAATAGTTAAATTCGTTGGCTTCAAACAACTTCCCCCTTACCGCCGCTGTGGGTTCGAATCCCGACAAGGACTTTGAATTCTTCAATGTGAGGACGCTATCCAGCTAGCTTACGGAACGTCGGTGGTTCTACTCAGGTGCCCGCTCGTACCTGAAATAATGCACAGAAGGGCACCTGAGGTCTTCCTCGACCAATAAAGATAGAAAGTCGCCATATGACCTATACTGTGTCAATGTGACGGAGAAAACCGACAGAAAAAACAACTGATAATGTGTGCGTCAGTATTGATCATCTATGAACAAATGGTAGTCTCTTTTTAGTTTTATGCTTTCTTTGTTTTCTATCTAGGTTACTACTTTTTCTTTTTAAGTATAACTTAATCATTTGTTTTTCCTTAATTTCCTTGTCGGTTACTATAATTTCTTTTTAAGTATTAAGTGATTAGCCTGGTCGTGCTCTGCCTTGCTCCCTGCCCTGATTTTGTTGGGGTCCTCTGGGCTCCTCTTTCCTGAGTCGTGTGGGGGTTGCGTTCATTGAACGCCACCTTTCCTTGTTGATATTGTTTACCATATTTGATAACATATAAAACAAAAATTATCTATCCTTTACTGATTTAGATATATCATATGCGGCAGACATTAATTATGAATGAAATGATACGTCCGAAAGCGACTCAGGAGACATTACAGGTGATAGGGAAATGGAGCCGACACAGAATGAGGATATACTTTTGTCTATAACCTACTTATCAAAATTATCTGTGCAAATTAAGAAATCTATCTCAATTACACAAGCAAATATTTGCCTCATATTCAAAATCATGTTGTACGCAAAATGTTATTTATTTCGCACGCGCACACGCGCGCGCGCGGACACACACACACACACACACACACAAAATTTAACCTCTCTCTCTCTCTCTCTCTCTCTCACAAAAATAGAAGTCTGCAAATAAGCGAACATTTCATAAATATATCATTTTCTAATCTATAAGGAGATTATTAAATTAATTCACAGTTTTTGTGTTGCGACGAGTTACGATTATGAAGAATGTCTCCATAGTTCGAATGAACTTCAATCCAATTGGTCGTTTGGTCAAAATCCGCTTTGTTGTTAAAGAGAAATTTTCAGAACTTATCATCACAAATTTGTGTAAAATTCTACACTTTAAATAATCATACCCTTAAGTGTCTACGAACAAATTTAGGACTCGATTGTACTGCTTGGCGTGCTGTAATGTCTGTTTTTGAAATGAATAAGTAAAAAAAAAATCAACAAAACAAGCTGGTCTTATGGCCATACGCCGCTCTCATGAGTTCCATTACTGTCATATTTCTTAAAAACTGAAATGTACAATTGCGCCACATGTACTTAGGGGCGGGGCCAGTTATCATCCTTCGTATTCAGTTCACACAGCAATTTTACATGTCATATACATGTATGTATATATCTAGGCTCATGGCAATGAAATAGAGAAAAACAGAATCCCTAAAGAAAGTCCAACGCAACAAAATTGAAAATTTTGCAGGCTCAGTTTGATTGAGCCTGTTCGTGGACGGTACTGGAAAGTGCAAGTTACCGTCCACGCCCCTAGCACCGGCTTAAGCAGAATTCAACATTTAACACGAAAATGGTGAAATTTTGAATTTAGAAACATCCGCAGATGTGTTTAGTTCATACGGCGGTTATCATGGAACCTTCAATGTGACACAGTAGTGCCATTCCATGAAAAGCGGCGTATGGTCCCCAAGTAAAAGAATGCTTTTGCTCTAAACGAGTAAACAATGGGCGGAACTAAATAAAATGGAATTTTGAAAGGGGATATGAGGTTATGAAGCCTGCATATAACAGATAAGACGTCAAAAGACAAATTTAAAAAGCATGCAACATATCCTAAGGGTGATTATACAGTATTCAAGTAGGAATACTGGAACCACCAAGTTGAAAAAGGCCAAATAACAGAATCAAAAAGTACCACATAGCATGTATACACAGCAATAGTGTCGTGCTGAACGATCTTCAAGGATCGAAAATATAACATCATTGATTACATGCACGGGGCGACTTCTTGCAGCCGCCACACAGCACAAAAAACACGGATTCAAACAGGTTTAATCTATGTACATGTATTAAAAAAAGACATACAATTTATTTCAGAATAATAATGCTAATAAGCCCATGATGACATAATAGCAGCATACTTACAAGATAACGAACAGCGTACAAAACATTATCACAGTATAATTATGACTTTACAATAACATCTTATTTATATAAGCGTTATATGAAATAAGTGGCTCAATGGGTGTGATCATCTTTAATGCAGGGGCATTCAATTATCAAAGCTAAATATATTGCAATTTCGAAGTAAAAGATACTTAAAATGTCCGCAAGTCAATGTACACCTTTGTCCCGATTAAAAATTACACCCCCTCTGCAGTATGACCATTTGTGCAACAGTAACCCCTCGAAAACAAACATTTTCACCGTTACTTCAGCTTGAGTTGTATTTTTTTTATTTCTAGCAATTAGATATTAACTTATCAACTCAGTCAAAACGAAAGCAAAATAAAGGCTACTATCGCAATAGTTTTCATATTTGATTTAATTTACTGTATCTCTTATGTTATTGTTGATGAAACGTCTAAAGCAAACAATAAAACAATAATATCGTATCCAAAAGAAAACTTATACTATTGGAGTTTTGTATCTCAAGTAAAGACCATTTATCGAAACCTTAAATATGTCATTCAAAATCGATATTTTCAGCCTTTTTCTTATTTTTTATTCTGTATGTTTGACTAGTATGGGATAAACAAGAGCTGTCACAGGAGACCGCGAAGCTCGACTAATAAAATACTGGACGTAGTAAGGAATAAATAAGTATAGAAGAAAAATCAATTATAATATAAATATATTTCTTTTTATGACAAGAAGTAATTGTTGTAAACATGAATTCCAAGTTCAAGGGGGAAAAATTCTGGAAATAGTCACACTAGAGTTATGGACCTTGTCACAAAACGTGTGTGTAATGATAAGAAATATATATTTGAAGTTTAAGATAGATACCTTAAAAAGTAATGAAGTTATAATAATATTTCTTAAGAAATTTTTAAGTTCAATGGGAGATAAATCTAAAAATATTGCTTCGAGAGTTATGAACCTTATCACATAAGATGTGGTTGATTATCAGAAATATGTAATTTGAAGTCTGAGGTAGATACCTTTAAAACTAAAGAAGTTATAGTAAAAAATAACATTTTTAAGTAAAAATCTTAGTTAAGAGGGAGATAATTCTTGCAACATTGGTACTAGAGTTATGAACCTTGTCACATAAGACGTGGTTAATGATAAGGAACATATATTTGAAGTTTGAAGTTGATCCCTTAAGTAATAAAGAAGTAACAGTAAAAAATAATAGTTTTTAAGGAAAATTCTAAGTTCACGGGGAGATAAATCTGAAAATATTGGTGCTAGAGTTACGAACCTTGTCACATAAGAAGTGGTTGATGATAAGGAACATATTTGAAGTTTGAAGTTTATACCTTAAGAAAGTGAAAAATATTTTATCACACACACATGTCCGTAAATATGGTATTGCAGGGCTGTGCATATATTTTGACGTGAAGTCATTAGAGTTATACAAACATAGCGTAAAGATGCACTAAATGTTAGTGTTATACTATAGGCACGTCAATGAAAAATAACTCTTATTTCCGTTTAAACGGTCTTTAATTTGGGTATGTGATAAATAGAATATTAAATTCGTGTATGTTCATTACTGAATTCATTGCACTCGTTGAAAAAAATAATATTATGCTCGCCAGAGGCTCGCATAATATCATCTTATTCAAATCATGCACTAAATTCAGTATTGAACTTACACCTCTATTTACTGCACCAAAACTTTAATCTGAAATCTGGACGCGGACGCCGACGCCCACGCCGGGGCGAGTAGGACAGCTCTCCATAATACTTCGTATAGTCGAGCTTAAAATTGACAACACAAAAACTTATTCTAGGATTACATTTATTTGAAATATACTGTATACATTGTGCAGCTATGTTGCATTATAACATAATAGAAATAAGGTGTACCTAATTATGATTGACATGTACCATCAGAATTGCAAAATAACAAGGTTATTTATATTTAGCAAACCACTTACCGAAACGAAATGTAAGAGATTTAATACATTACCATGACAATTTTTATCATTAAAGGGACTCCACTGAGCTTTTATGACATGACGGGACCGGAAATAATTGCTCAAGATTAATGTTCCATTCCTTGTAGGTCTAAAGAAATAACATGTGTACAAAAAAATTTGAGCATTCACTCACTCTGTTTTTATAGAATAATTGTTCTGGGAAAAAAATGACTTAAAATTGAAAATCGTTTAAACGTTTCCCTTGAATTGGGCTAAACATAGCACAAAAATACTATTTTCACTTTATTTCTTAATGATATTATGCATATCTTACTATTTTCAGAGCCCCAGGACAGGTGATCTATATCAGAAAGTCAAATATTATGTTTTTGGCTTTTGAACCTCAGTGGAGTTCTCTTAAATTAGATACAAAAATGTTTTATTTGCTTTAAAATGTGTAACTAAGTAAACACAAGAAGCTACTCTTATTTGAATTAATCTACGAATATAACAGCTGGTGTTGACAGTACATGTTAAAAATTCTGTATGTTGTAATTAAGGTTGTAACCACACTTGTGTAAAATTTTATATATGTATATAATTATGCTTCTAAAACAATTTTCAAACATCAAAGAATATGTAAAATAATATTATGTACTGCAAATATTTGTTCACATTATAATATTATGTAATCATTAAAATAATTTAATCATAAAAATATATGCATTCATTCTTATAGAAAAATTTGCCTTTGACTTTATAGAAAATAAATTTCTAATTACCTCCCTTCATTAACATGAAATGTAAATTCGGTAATATCTTTACAAATATCATGCTTTTTGGAACTAACAATATCGATAAATTATATTTATGATTTAAAACCATAAAAAATGAGTTACACCTGGATCTTTAAACAAATAAATTCTCAATTTGTTCAATGTTATATCATATGGCGTATTTTCAGCTTACTCATTTCTGACTTGTGACATCATGACGTCGCCAAATCAGGAAAACCAATTAGTTGAATCATATTTTTCTGGATTTAAGTGACACTATGCCCATCTTTATGTAAATGGTGATTGTACAAGTAAAAGTAAAAACAAGCATCACATTTTAATTACCATGATTATTTTTAATTTGATTTTCTTCTTCACAAAAATTATCAATATTCTGCTTGGATGGTCTAAAATTCTATAAATGAGCAGCGCCATGACAAAACCAACATAGTGCGTTTGCGACCAGCATGGATCCAGACCAGCCTGTGCATCCGCGCAGTCTGATCAGGATCCACGCTGTTCGCTATCAGTTTCTCTACTTGTAATAGAGTTGGTAAGCAAACAGCATGGATCCTGATCAAACATTAGCATTTTTGAGGTTTAATGTGTCATTAAATAACAAAACAAGATGGTATAGAATGATAAATTAGAGAAGTCTATCATCTCAATAAGCAAGCTTACACCTACACAAAAGAATTACTATGTATAAAATAGAACAGAACCGACAAAAACTTATATAAGACTCTCATACTCTCATCATTATAACAATACATATACATTCTAATATATAATACATTTTTACATACAAGCCAATTGTATTATAATAATATACAAAAAAAATCAAATATACAAATGTATTTACAAAAACAACCGACAAGCAAGGACACTGCTTGACTTTTTCTTACTTCTTAACTCAAACAGACAATTCATCATAACTAACAATACATGTAAATTCTGATATATAATGCATTCAGTCATCAGTCATTCAGTCATCAGTCCAGTATATCATCTCTAAGTATGGACCTGAATGCCAGTTCTCAAGAAAATATATTCTTTACCATCAAAGGACCCCATTGGAAATAAGTTCTCTATTTTATATTGAACTTTCATGGGTTATCCTGTGTTGTATATATTGTCTTGAAGTCAACAAGATCTTTGATTTAATTATGAATGTAAAGTTATTATTTTTCAATTAATTACTGTGTTAAAAACAATGTGATAGATATATCTGTGATAAATTGTCTTAATTTGTTTTGTAATATGACATATATATATACACAAATAAATCAATCAATCAATCAATCAATCATTCTTTAATACAAGTCATTTTTTTATAAAAATATACATACAAGAAGACCAAAATGGCCCTAGATCATTCATCTCACCCATAGAACTCATCAGAGTAATTACCTAGACAAGCATCCTGACCAAGGTTTGGTGACAATTTAGTAAAAAATGTGACCACTAGAGTGTTAACAAGGTTTTTCCATATTTGGGCGGTATGACCTAGTTTTTAACCCCAGGTGAGGTGACCCATATTCGGAATTGACCTAGAAATCATCAAAACAACTTTCAGACAAGTTTCCAGGATATTAGGATCAAAACAGTAGCCACTAGAGAGTTAACAAGACTTCTATTTTTAGCTCCTGTGACCTAGTTTTCATTCAAAATGATCATGTTCGAATTTATTCGAGTAATTACCTAGACAAGCATCCTGACAAAGTTTGATGATGATTGAGGCAAAAATATGACCACTAGAGTGTTAATAAAGTTTTACCATATTTGGGCAGTATGACCTGTTTTTTTCCCCCAGTTGACCCATATTTGACTTTGACTTAGAAATCATTAAAACAAACTCCACAATATTCAGATCAGTAGCAGTAGCCACTAGAGTGTTAACAAGATTTTTCTATTTTTAACTCCTGTGACCTAGTTTTTCATCTGATATGACCCATGTTCAAACTCATTCGAGCAATTACCTAGACAAGCATCATGACTAAGCTAAATGACATTTCAGTAAAACATGTGACCACTAGAGTGTAAACAAGCTTTTGCCATATTTGGGCGGTATGACCTTGTTTTTGACCCCAGATGACCAATATTTGAACTTGACCTAGAAATTATCAAAACAAACTTTCAGACCAATTTCCAGGAAATTTTGATCAAAACAGTAGCCACTAGAGAGTTAACAAAAAATTTCTATTTTTTGCACCTGTAACCTAGTTTTTTTAATCTGATATGACCCATCTCTGGTGAGCTAAAAATCAAATATGTTTACAAGAACCACCGCCAAGCAAGGGTAACACTTAACTTTTTCTTATTTCTAAACTCAAACAGCAACAAATCATCACAACTAACAATACATGTACATTCTAATATATAATACATTCATACATACAAGTGATTTTTATTATAATAATATACAAAAAAACATCAAATATATTTACAAGAACCACCTCAAAGGAAGGACAACGGTTTCTAAAGTCAAACACAATAGAGGAAGAATATTGCAGTAAAGAATTCTCCTAGAAAACATTCCTTTCTTGTACAAGATATAATTAAATATTCATATGTGACCTTGACAGTCAAAGGTCATTTACAGATGAAAGCCATACTGAAACTGTTCAACATGATGGTGTTGTCATGAATATTCTTTGTCCAAGTATATAGTTTTACATTGAAACTGAGAAAATATTTTGTAAATATTTATCTAGCTAAATTATTTTAAGATTTTTATTTCCAGATTCCTTTCAATTTTCATGAAAATTTTGAAAATGTATAATAAAGTAAAATATTGTGAAGCTGACAAAGAAAATAACATCCACTTTGCAAAGGCACTTTCAACCCATGTAAATTACAAAAAATGGTCAAAATATGCAAAATCAACTCTTACTATGTTAGTAACGCAGTAGAAATATGGTGAAAATTATTGAAAAATCGGCCATTTATCTCAAATAGCATAGACATTATTACTTTTATCTTCAGTCTTTTTAATTTTCATAAAACCTCAATACATTTTTCTCAAGTTTGGTTTTCTTGAAATATTTGGCTCATCTTGATGCATGCAGCTTTAATGGATTTTCTCTGCTTTGAATTTGGAACAGTCCATTTGAATATATTTAACAATTTCAAAATACAAAAAATGACAACAGTATATAGCCTGATCAGTCTGCACATTTATGAAGGCTGGTAAGGCTTTATACTGGTGGAAAAGGGCTTATCACTTTCAGTTTTACATAGCAGGTTTAGTGTAAAAAAAGATATATCATGCACCAGTTGGATTTTTTAAATTATGTAGGATCATCTGAAGTTTCGTCTTCATCATTTGGTTTTCGCTGTTTTTTGTAGTAAGGTTGAAATTTCTGCCTTTTCTTCTTTCCTTTCTTAGGCCCTGTATGAGTACTATATGGACTTGGACAGTTTGTAACTGGGTGGTTTGCAGGTTCAAACCCTGCTGTTGAATTATTTGCAGATTGACTGTGTGCAATCCTGTCGCCTGCATATGGTTGGTTAAGGCTAGCAGGCACAAGCTGTTTTGATGTTGACGGATAAATAAATAAATCAGCCGGCTTTGGATCCTGATTTCCAATAGCAGTATTAGTAGCATTGACATCAGAGATGCTTCCCTCTTGTGACGTTTGACCAGTTCCTCCAAATGAATATTTAATTACTTGACCAACAGCTGGACGAACCTTGCCCAACCATAATTGTTCATCCGTAGGAGTGCCAGCAACCTGTGGTGCTGATCTTGAAGGAGACAGGACTCTTTGGTCATTATCTTTGGCCTTCTTTGTCAAGGAAACAATATTTCTTTGGGACTCAAACATAGTATCTCCATTCTCGAATTCAGTGTTATGACCCTTTATCATTACAGGTATCAAAACACCATCATTGTTTTTCACCCACTCAATACCAAGCATGCTTGTGGCTGCTACCAATTCTGACATTGCAATGGGGACATTAGGAGAAAACACTTTACCTCTAGCCTTCATATATGTGTTGATATGACCTGCGATATCAACAACTTGGGTCTTCCTGCTACCGTTCATATACTCTGGAAAGAAACAGTAATTATTAACTATGTAATTACTTTTCATCTTTAAGACGTTTAACCTGCATGCTTTAACCTGGTGAAATTTACTACAACTGGTCAAAACTTTTTATCTTTTTATGGATTTGAGAACATAAAATATATACAAGAGCGATCTGTAATCACATGTGTCGCCTCATGATGGCCAATTTCATGTTGGGACAAATTTTGTGACAGACGGACAGACAGACGGACAGTGCACAACTAGACTTGGTACTGATCATTCCTGTAAAGTTTGGATGAAATTGCACCTATAGTTTTTGAGGAGTAGTCCGGACAAGCTTTTGTGTATCTGGCAACACACAGAAAAAAAACACCTTTTTATCAAAGGGCAATGACTCGGCCAAAAATCATTCAACCGGAAAACCCGTGCAATATGCGCAAGAACTTGAGCTACAGATCAATCCTGTAAAGTTTCATTGAAATTGCATTAGTGGTATAAGAGAAGTAGTCCGGACAAAACTTTAAAAATTAAAAATTATTAAAGGGCCATAACTCTGACAAAAATCATTGAACCGGAAAATGCTGACAATATGCACAACTAGACTTCATGCTGATCATTTCTGTAAAGTTTAAATGAAATTGCATCAGTAGTTTATGAGGAGTAGTCCGGACAAGCTTTTGTGTATCTGGCAACACACAGAAAAAAACACCTTTTTATCAAAGGGCCATAACTCGGCCAAAAATCATTCAACCGGAAAACCCGTGCAATATGCGCAAGGACTTGAGCTAAAGATCAATCCTGTAAAGTTTCATTGAAATTGCATTAGTGGTGTAAGAGAAGTAGTCCGGACAAACTTTAAAATTAAAAATTATTAAAGGGCCATAACTCTGACAAAAATCATTGAACCGGAAAATGCTGACAATATGCACAACTAGACTTGGTACTGATCATTTCTGTAAAGTTTGGATGAAATTGCACCAGTAGTTTATTAGGAGTAGTCCAGACAAGTTTTGTGACAGACGGATGGACAGACAGACAGACGACGGAGAAGTGATCCCTATATGTCGCCACTACTCCGTAGAGGCGACACAAAAATTGATAACAAAATATGCAGATTTGTTTTGACTAAGTCTGAATTTTAATGACATATAAACAACAACAACAAAAAAATGAAACAATTAGGATATGTTGCCCTGCTTTTTTTAACTTTGTCTTTTGACGTCTTATCTGTGATATGCAGGCTTCATAACCTCTGGGGCCCTTTTCATAATTTCATTTTATTTAGTTCCGCCCAGTGTTTTCTCGTTTAGAGCACACGCTTTTTATAACATGGGGACCATACGCCCCTTTTCATGGAATGGCACTACTGTGTTACATTGAAGGTTCCATGATAACCACCGTATGAACAAATCTGCGGATGTTTCCAAATTTAAAATTTAACCATTTCATGTTTAAATGATGAATTCTGTTTAAGCCGGTGCTAGGGGGCGTGGACGGTAGTTAGCACTTGACAGTACTGTCCATGAACAGGCTCAATCATACCTAGCCTGCAAAATCTAATTTTGCTGTTTTTGGCCTTTCTTTAGGGATTCATATTTTCTCTATTTGATATATATTCAGACCAAACAATCACTTATAACCAAACTGACATTGTTAGTAATCAAAATATGACCTTAGCCTTTAATGACCATGACTGTTTCTGTCAAATATTGGATGTAGCTGAATTTATGTAAGGCTTATATTGTCATAACTTTGTTATTTATATAGGATATGATTTATACTGATGATCATTTTATTGATTCAAAATCTCAAATCTTCTTTATAACTAAGAGTTTACTGCTACAGGCATGGGAGTTGTTGCTTCTGTTTCTTTTGTGTGTGTGTTTGTTTTTTGTTTGTTTTTTGTTGGGTTTTTTTTTTTTTTTTTTTTGGGGGGGGGGGGGTTTCGTTGTTTATATTGGTCATATAAATTCAGACTCAGTCAAACCAAATCTGCATTTTTTTGTTATAAAATTTATTTTTGCTGCTGTTAACAAGAGTTTCAAGTTAACGTATTTTACAATTTCAGTCTTTTTAATGATATACTGAATATCAGTTGAAATATACAAAAACGTACAAAACAGAACAAACCTTCTTCCATGTCCAATACATCATTTAGAATGTCAGGTGATGTTTCAAACTGTATTCTTGTTGTTACATTTACATCTGGTAACAGATCAATATCACCATTGCTTTCTACCTGTTAAAAATACATGTAAATCACATGAATTATGAATATACTATGTCAATATTTTAGTGATTTTTAACTATTCCAAAAGATTGTTAAAACTAATGTTTAAGAATTCTATAAATAAATGCACGCATATCGGCTTGGATAAATGTATACTTATTTATATAAACAAGTCTCATTTTTAGAGGCCCATTGTGCTCAGAAACACTTTTATTTTATTTTAAAAAAACTTTTCATTTTTGGTGTCCTGTTATATTTCCCAGAAAGTTATTAATTGGTCAATTACCTTAATCATATTTTGCTTCAAGTGCCTTTTGGCAGTAAGTACATTTATAGTGACTAGTGACATGTGGGTTTTGTTTATCAAATAGTAAAGTAAGTTACAAAGTTATGACAATTTTAGCTAAATTCAATAATTTGACCTGGACAGTCAATGTCATGTAATGGTTAGAGTTGGTATTAAAAACAAAAACGTTATTTCATATTAAGCATTCTTATGTTATAAATAAATCAAATTTGTAAATTATTAACAAAGTTATGACAATTAAACAAAACACTGTAAAAATGAATACAATGTTTAAATAAATAATTGATGGTCGATTTAAGGTCAAGGTTCTTTTTTATTTTTCAAAAGTTAGTTTTGTCCCCAATAAAAATATAAGTATGTATCTAAATAACAAAGTTATGACAATTATTTTCAGCAATCTGACATTGACTTGCTATTTCTATGTATGAAGATCTGCAATTACAAAGTTATATACAGCCAAATGTTGCAAAAACAATGAAATTTCAATTATTTGACCTTCAAGGTCATTTATAAGTCAAGGTCAAAGTTTTATTAGCTCTATTTTCAAAACATTTTCCTAATGAAAGAATTTATAGTCAAATATTGCAATAATCAAGAAAAATTCAAGTTCAAGGTCATTTATGAGTACAGGTCACGGCCAATTTGGTTTATTATATTGAAAGTCTTGTCCAAAAGATTGTTGTGGCCAGGTATGAAGACAACTTATTCATAAATTACAAAGTTATAGTCAATTTTGAAAAATAAATCATGCAAAATTAAAAAAAAATTGACCTTGGAGGTTAAAATTATTTATGAGTCATGGTCAAGTTAGGTCTAGTCTTTTTAATGGGAGACACAGGCAAAATTTTCATTTCTTGGTTTTGAATGTTTCATTCATTATTCTGTTAATGTCCTCAAAACAAATACTCTAGGCAGTCACAGGAACAAAACTTTTCTCCTAATAAAAAATAAAATTTCACCAAAGTTGTCAAAGTGAACTCTGGAAACGTTAAAGAACATGTCAATTGAACGACTTAGACTTGTTTCAATCATATAATAAGCAACATATCTGTTATTGTAACATCCATGGTTTTTCAAGTCAAACTAGAAATGTGTCACTGTTTTGTCAATCTTATGATTCTAGGTCAAATATTTTTTGAAAACTAAAAATCTTTTACTAAGTTAAGGGCAAGAACTTTACAAATACTGAATAAATCCACAAGCAAACCCCAAGGTGCATAAGTACACATGCTGACCAACATTCTTGTAAACTTTCAGGCTTACAAGTGAAATACTTTTTGAGCTATGCAAGTTGAAAATTGCAAATTTATACTACTGTAAGACAAGGGCAATAACTCTAACAAAACTGAAAAAAATCCACATGCAAAGTCCCAGGTGCATAGCTTCACAGTGATGTGAATCATTATTCCTGTAATTTAGTGATGTTGATCATAATTCCTGTAAAGTTGGTTGATTCTAACTTAAGCACTCAAGGAACAAATAACAACATAATGAAACGGTTTTTACTAAGTCAAGGGCAATAACTCTAAAAATACTAAATAAATCCAGACAAAAATACCCAGGTGCACAACTACACATGCTGATCAACATTCCTGTAAAGTTTCATGACTCTATGTCAAATCCTTTTTGAGTTACATGCGACACAAGTTGAAAATTGCAAAATTTTACTAAGTCAAGGGTGATAACTCTAAAAATACTAAAAATATCCAGACAAAAATACCCAGGTGCACAACTACACATGCTGATCAACATTCTTGTAAAGTTTCATGACTCTAGGTCAAATACTTTTTGAGTCACATGCGACACAAGTTGAAAATTGCAAAATTTTACTAAGTCAAGGGCAATAAATCTAAAAATACTAAAAATATCCAGACAAAAATACCCAGGTGCACAACTACACATGCTGATCAACATTCCTGTAAAGTTTCATGACTCTAGGTCAAACACTTTTTGAGTTACGTGCGACACAAAAAAGAACGGACGGACGGAAGGACAAAAATTAAGACCTTGACCTTGAACCTAGTGACCCCAAATTCCACCCAAACTTAAAGAACCACATGAATTATGTTCTTCTAAAATGAGACATGAAACAAAATACAAAGGCTGTATAAGAAAAAGTGTAAAAATTCTATTGTTAGCACAATTAAGTGACCTTGACCGTGTGACTCCCAACACTAGGCCATCCAAGGTATATTAGTAGTGGATTCTCACCATTATATACTACTTATGTTCCTTCCAAGTAAGACAAATATCAGTCTTTAAATAAAGGCTGTATAAGAAAATGTTTAGAAATCTATTTTGGCACCCCTGACCTTGACCCACTCACTCCTTACTCAATATATACGAATAAGGTCATACAAGTTATCTTACTTAATACGAAAGAAATATGTCCTTCAAAAGGATGTCTTCATGTAAAAGTGTAAAAATCAATTTTTAGCACTGGTTACCTTGGCCTAACTGACCCCTAACTCAATCTAAAGGAAGTGCATGTATACCATGCAAGTTATTATCCTACCAAATGTGAAAAACATCAGTCAAACAAGTTATTTTTAAAATCCTACAATGCATGACAAAGTTGCAGAGTGGACACAAATGTGTGCCTTCAAACTCTTTACTGTATGTGTGAATTTGACCTTGGAGGTAGGGACATGGGTCTTTGACGCAACATGTGGTCTTGATGTGGCAGACATTCATGCCAAGTTATTTTAAAATCCTTCAATGCTTAACAAAAATACAGTCCGGGCACAAATGTGTACTTTCAACCTTTAAGTGTGACCTTGACTTTTTAGGTAGTGTCATGGGCCTGAGATGTGACATGTCACCTTGATGTGGCAGTTTTTTATGCCAAGTTATTTCAAAATCTTTACACTGCATGACAGAGCTACAGTCCCGACACAAATGTGTACCTTCAAACTCTTCTTGTGAGAGTAAGTACCTAAAAACTGTAAGTGTGACCTTGGAGGTGGATCTTGGATAAGACATGTCCCCTTGATGTGGTAGGCATATATGCTTGGTTATTTACAGTCCGGACACAAATGTGTGTACCTTTAAACACTAATTGTGGGAACTCGCAGTCAGTGTGACCTTGACTTTTGCGGTACACATCATCATGATGTAGGCGATATTTGTGCACGACAGACAGTCGGACTGTGCGATTACTTGGCAGACTTACCTGCCCTTCACAGTGAACTAGTTTGAACCGAGTATTCTATATAACTGGGCCAAAAATTATTATAAGGTTATATGGGTGTTTACAATGCATTCTTATTTTGATAGTGAACAGGTATTTCAAAACCTTTGATAGATTTTACCAAAACATTAACCTGGCGAATATAGTAAAAATTAGATACATGTACTTGCAAAAAAATGATATACTGGTTACAAATATGTTTTGAAAATAATCTTTGTTAAATCTACAATACATTATTAATTTTGTTTTGTTTGCTTGATTGGGTTTTATGCTACACTAACACAGTATCTAATTATAGGTCATAATGGCGACTCACCAGTTTTAAGTACATTATTATATCAAAATATCATCAAGGTTGTAATTGTTAAAGTCCATTCAGAGATTAAACAGTTTGTTAAAATCAATAACCATAAACAATTACTTATCATACCATCCTATTGATTTCTGTTGACATTGTGCATGTCTGATAAATTTAACTTTATCAGTAACTTAATCAGACACCTCATGGCAAAATGTAAGAATGGAATATTTTTACCTAAACATATTATATACATGTATTTATTCATAACAACTCAAAAGTTCATACAAAACTTAACAAACATATGTTTATAAACCAGTTATGCATGTCAAACTTTTATAACATTTCTTTACATTTGCATATGTCAACAGGGATGATTCTGATTTTAAAGGAACTCACCTTTGTGTGGGACTTTCCAGTTGTTCGCTCTATCAATCTGGTTTCCATTCTGGAAAAAATAACAGTAAAAATTTTCATCTATTTTTTACTATTCATGATTTGTTCATATGTTGATGTCCCAAAACCATACTGATGCTTTTGATAAATTTATCTGCCTATTTAAATCAAAAAAATAAAAATCAATAATTACCTTGTCCTTCAGGCCTTAAACCAAGGGACCAAAGTTAGAAGACCATCCTATGTATGTGTCTACCAAATACGAAAAACATTAGTCAACGACTAATTTAGGTTATAAATTTAACAAGTATTATTAAGTATTATAAAGGGAGGTAATTAAAGAATCAAACAAGGTGGCATTATAGATCTTAGTCAGCACACAATTATCACTGTATGACCTGTTCATAAAATTGTTTGATACATATCAAGTTATTCCCGGGAAATGAATTATTATGTATTATAAAGGTAGATAATTATCAAACAGAGTTATTGTTCTTTAACATTGCACTTTCTCTAACTAGATTCTATAACCATATGTGGTTTCAATAAGATTTTATTGACAGTTTTGAAATTTTTCAATGAGATATCATTCATAGTTTAGAAGTTATAATCCAGACATTATTTAACATTTTTCTGTATCATCAAGGGACATAATCCAAAACTCTAAAAAGGTAGAATTATGGTTCTTTAATGCTGCACTTCCTTAGTACACAGTTATATATTACAGAGTGACATTTAAATCAAATTCCTTCAAAACTAAGTCTTGTCTAACTTGATACTTAATGATAAGGCTTTTGTACTGAACAAATGTATTAAAATTGCAGATATTTGGTTATGTATTTGTTACATATTGTTAGCATATGAATTTCTATGAATTTAGATATGAAAAACCAAAGCTTCAAAGATCTGCAGTATGATACATGCATGTACTAATTTATTCAGCATAATTATAAAATTTTGTCCCTGACTGGCCATTGTTTGAGGAAAATGTAGATGTTCTAAAAGGTTTCATAACAAGAGCTGTCACAGGAGACAGCCAAGCTTGACTAATAACATACTGGACGCAGTAAAGAAGGACAAAACTATGAAAGAAAAACCAATTACGGTATGTATAATTATGTATTAAGTTATAGTAAAAAAATTTCATTTGTTAACATAAATTCCAAGATCAAGGGGAATAATTCTAGAAATAGTAATGCTAAAGTTATGAACCTTGTCACACAACATGTGTGTAATGAAAAGAAATATATATTTGAAGTTTGAAGTAGATACCTTAAAAAGTAAAGAAGTTATAATATTTCTTAAAGAAAATCCTAAGATCAAAGAAAGATAAATCTGTAAATATTGCTTCAAGAGTTATGAACATTGTCACATAAAATGTAATTGATGATAAGGAATAAGTATTTGAAGTTTGAGGTAGATACCTTTAAAACTAAAAATGTTACAGTAAAAAATAACATTTTTCTAGTAAAAAAATCTAAGTTTATGGGGAGATAATTCTTGCAATATTAGTGCTAGAGTTATGAACCTTGTCACATGAGATGTGGATGATGATAAGTTACAGATGTATATTTGAAGTATGAAGTTGATCCCTTTAGAAATAAATAAGTAACAGTAAAAAATAATATTTTTTAAGGTTAAATTCTTAGTTCAAGGGGAGATAAATCTGAAAATATTTGTGCTAGAGTTATGAACCTTGTCACATAATATGGGGATGATGATAAGGTACATATATTTGAAGTATGAGGTTGATCCCTTAAGAAATAAAGAAGTAACAGTAAAAAGTAGTATTTTTTTAGGAAAATTCTAAGTTCAAGGGTAGATAAATCTGAAAATATTTGTGCTAGAGTTATGACCCTTGTCACATAAGACGGGGATGATGATAAGATACATATATTTGAAGTATGAGGTTGATCCCTTAAGAAATAAAGAAGTAACAGGAAAAAATAGTATTTTTTGAGGAAAATTCTAAGTTCAAGGGGAGATAAATCTGAAAATATTTGTGCTAGAGTTATGACCCTTGTCACATAAGATGGGGATGATGATAAGGTACATATATTTGAAGTATGAGGTTGATCCCTTAAGAAATAAAGAAGTAACAGTAAAAAATAGTATTTTTTGAGGAAAATTCTAAGTTCAAGGGGAGATAAATCTGAAAATATTGGTGCTAGAGTTATGAACCTTGTCACATAAGATGTGGTTGATGATAAGGAACATATATTTGAAGTTTGAAGTTGATACCTTAAGATTTGACAAAGTTATAGTGAAAAATATTTTACTGAACCAAAACTTTAATCTGAAATCTGGACGGAGACGTGGACGCCGACGCCGGGGCGAGTAGGACAGCTCTCCATATACTTCGTATAGTCGAGCTAAAAAACCAAGTAGCCAGTGAAAACCTCCTAACTATCATGTTGTCTTAGCAATGCTCTTTATTGCTCATTTGTGACTGGTACTTATTTACCAGCCAATTTTAACTCATTGATTCAGCTTTTTGCATGTACACGTGCAGAACAATCTCCCCACCCTGACATCCCAAAAGTCATCTTTATTTATTCATTTTTATTTATACATTCAGGAACATAGCACATAATACAAATAAAAATCACGCAGTTAAGAAAAAACATATAAATTTATATAATTATATAAAATGAAATCATAAAACAGCATAAAAGAGCACACTTTAATCAGATGTCATATGCACCTTTGGATAGCCTATTAAGCTAAAAGTTAAGTATCAATCTCATATTTGTGCAAACTGGCAAGTAATTTCCTGTTCAGTATCCATTTTATAAATCTAGGACCTCAAGACCTAAGCTTAAAGCAGCATGCATCCAGATTCATAATTTTCATGAGAAAAAAAAACGAATCAAAAAATAAATTACTGTCAAGTGAACAAAGCAAGTATTTTACACATAAAATTGAAGAAATATACCAAAAAACGGTCAGAATATGCAAAATTAGCCCATACTGCTTTAGCCACACAGTACAAATGTGGTGTAAAAGTGCAAAATCATTCATAAATTGCATAAATTGCATATTACATGTTTTATTATATAAATGTCACAATTATAAATGATTTGTTACACACATATCATACCAAATGACAGAATTTTTTTAAAGGATCAAGTAATAAAATACAAAGCTATTTGAAAAGAAAAGAACACAGTCTATCCCAGTAAATAAACCTTCCCCTTTCACTAATTTAAAGTTCAATTGACCTAGATAGTGAAGATTGTCTCACAGATATTTAACTTCTTTAAAAAAAAAAAAAAAACATTTGGCAAAATTCCAAAACTGTTTTGTGTATAATATTGAACATTTTTTCAATCATTAATGCTGAATTGAAAACATTACTTAAAAAATAATATTATGAAATTTACAAATTTCATAAAGAAATAAATGTACATAGATGAATCTAACAGCTAAGATTTTTTTTCATGTACACGTAACATTTTTTATAATAATATTTCAATGACTAAGACTAAGCTACGGCCACCTCAGAGCTCTTTCATTGTACATGTACATTATATAAGTTTGATAAGTTTGATAACTTTATTATTCAAATTCCATAAGGTCGAGGATATACAATACAACATAAATTTGGCGTGAGTGAGTGAGTGAAGTGAGTGAGTTGGTGAGTTGGAGAGAGTCTCAGTGAGTCAGTGTGAATTAACAAATTAAAATGGCAGGGGTGCAAAACAAAAAAGCACGCTAATTAGCGGGGTCACGGTACAAAGTTAAATAAATAAACCTTCGTCCCACATGGGCACGGAGCAAGATTTATAAAATAAAACATTGGGGTCACAAAGCAAACAAGTGCTAATTAGCAGGACGTGGGCAATTTTTTTATAAATAAAACTTCGCCCCGCACCCCCCCTAATTATTGTTTTCATCCCGCGACGCCATAAAGCAAAAAATCAAGAATAAACAAGTTAAAACAGCAGGCCCTGTAGCAAAAACATGCAAATTAGCGGAGGCGCTTATTAGCATTTTTTTGCTCTGCGCCCCTGCCTTTTTTATTCCTTAAACCTTGATCCAAGACCCTAATGAATAAAACTTCGAAAACAAAAGGGCCATGATGGCCCCGAGGTCGCTCACCTGTATTTAGCCCCCCCCCCCCACACACACACACCCATAAGAAGATGTTTCATGCTAAACATCTAAGCTCTAGCTCATTAGGCTCTTTAAAAGAAGATTTTTTTAAGTTTTTACTATACACATATAGTTAAAAACAATGACACCCCTGGGGCGGGGCCAATTTTGACCCCAGGGCTTTTATTTGAACAAACTTTGTAGACACTTACAAGAAGATGTTTCATGCTTAAGATCTAAACTCTAGCTATTTGGGTTTTTTCAAAGAAGATTTTAAGTTTTTGCTATACACATATAAGGAAAATCAATGACCCCCCGGGCAGGGCCAATTTTGACCCCAGGGCTTTTATTTGAACAAACTTTGTAGACACTCACTAGAAGATGTTTCATGCTTAATATCTAAACTCTAGCTATTTGGGTTTTTTCAAAGAAGATTTTTTTAAGTTTTTCCTATACACATATAAGGAAAATCAATGACCCCCGGGGCGGGCCAATTTGACCCCAGGGCTTTTATTTGAACAAACTTGGTAGACACCTATTAGAACATGTTTGATGCTAAATATCTTAGCTCTAGCTCTTTGAGTTCTTTAACCCTTTCACTGCCATATATAGGGACGGCTTATGCCGTCCCTGTTAATTTCGGCATATTTGCCATATGGACGGCTTTAGCCGTTTCTATAATAATAGTAGTAATAATAATAAATCAATTATAATAATAATAAAAATAATAATAAATATAAAGAAAATTATACCATCGACAATAATTATTATTTTACTCACAGATTTGGAAACATATAATTATTATAATACTAATAACAAATAATAATAATTATATTAATTAATAATATAGTAATTTCTTAGAAAACCCTCTGGCAAATATTATACGTAATCAATAAAACAATAACCCTCTGGCAGCGAAAGGGTTAACAGAAGATTTTTAAAGTTTTTACTATATGCATATAGGGAAAATCAATGACCCCCTGGGACAGGGCCAATTTTGACCCCAGGGCTTTTATTTGAACAAACTTGGTAGAC